AGCGGTGTGTAGACGCCGAAACTAAAAACCGAAACCGAAAGTGCTACAACACACGTCTGAACACAACATCTGCCGGTCGCGGAACCGAAAACAAAAGCAAAAGTTAAAAAAAAGCAACGGCCCGGTTGCCAGTGAGAAACGAGAAAACTGGTTGATCTTTGGACGAGCCAGCTGCATTGCCAATCCTGGGGTACATTAATCGTTGTGCCCGGAAGCAGGCAAGGCACGGTACACAAGGGGGAACGGGCGTCCATCACATATGGCACATATCATATCACACGAGTCAGCGTATTCTACGTCGATGGGCACTTTGTACGACGTACAGATTACGGAGTACATAGTTGTACATGAGACTAGTTGCTATTGTACAGCTACCTCTGCATGGACAGGTTTCGGGTCCCGAGAACCGACAACGGATGTGATGAATCGTAGCCCGGATCTCTATCAGGTGATTGGACTGGCTGCGGGATTGCGTCGATCTAGGGAGCTTTTGGGGGGGGGGAAGAATATTGATTTGGCTGCATGTTTGTTTTGCTCACCGCAATATAGTACCCATAGAGTTAGTACCCATAGAGCGAGTTGTGATAACTCCGTACCAGAGTACTAGCACACTTCTCACCCTTGGCTATACAATATACTTTCCCCGAGATGATTGGGGGCGGGAACACAGTTTGAATAAGTCAAGACTCGGGTCAGTACATGGCCCTTGCCTGTATGTGACGCAAGTGGTGAGATACCAACAAAGGAGAAGTACGGAGTACGGAGTAGTGAGATTGAAGACTCGACGAGGCAACTTTATGTTTACAGGGGCTAGTCTTGCCTGTACGAAGTACTCCGTACACCTTGGAACTACAGAGTACTTATTGTGCTGACGGGGGAAAGGGTAGCCCAGCCACCAACAGAAGGACCAAGGTCTAAAAGGAGAGACGGCAACAGGAAGAGAAAGTCCACGGCAACACCAATAACAATACGAGCGTGTTCCATTGTAAATGTCCCAGATGGTCAACGTACATTAGCGCCAGGAGAAGAAAGATGAAGTGTATGGCCCGTGCAGAACTAGTCAGCAGGGAAGCGCCAACCCCTCCCCACTCAGCTGCTTTTAGGGGAGTTTCTCGAAAAACGAACAGTTCGAGCAAATGGTTGGCCATAGCGCCCCTCCATCATCGCCTCACTCTTGGACTTCTTTAGCGTCCTGTCTAGACCCGAGTCAGCCTAGAACGGGGGTGTGAGGAGGGGCCAGGTGGGGTCCGGTATAAAGTTGGGTGTCTGTGCAAAGGACGGTGTAGCAAAGTCAATGAGTGGAGGTGAAGTCGTCTATTTCTTAATTAATCATATATAAATTGGATTCATAATAGTGATACCTAATCATGGTGATCAACGGAAAAAGGACAAATATGCTGCATTCAAACATCCCGATCCATGGTATAATGTGGCATGGACCAGATCTGACTCAAGATGCCATAGCTTTGCGGGGCTGGGGGCGATGAGCTTATTGGTAGAATGTGGGTGGCGGGTGCGTTGGCAAATGTGTGTCAGGAGGTTTCAAGGCAGAAACACCGTTGGGGAGAACAGGGGTTGGGATACGTGGACAGAGGCATTGCCACACTAGACCTAAAACGGAAGAGCTTAGAGTGCCCAGGTGGCAGTGGTAGCGGAAACCTTGGAAACCTTGGAACCTTGGAACCTTGGAAAATTTGTGGAAAATTGGAAAATTGTAGGAAATAGGAGAGGACTCTGCAGTTTCCAGTCGATCGTTATGATCCATGGTCCAATCATCGGTTGTGGCGGCTGCAGGAAAGACCGACCGAGTCATAATGATTGGTCTAACCACACTCGGGCATGCACACCGCTTCGTACACATGGCCTATTATTATTTTATTTTTTTTATGTTGTAAATAATTTAATTTTAGTGCCACTCTATTTTGTACGCATCATAGATTCTTTTAGGGGATTTTTCTTTTTTTCTTTTCTTTTCTTTTTTAGATTCCATTTGATCCTTTCCCCTTTTGGGATTTAATGTAATTTCCTTTTTGACTAGCGCTCTTTCCCTTTTGTTTTATTATTGTCTCTCGAACCACGAGGCGGCCATCTGCCTGATATCCATCTCTTCTATAATAATCTTCCTTCTCTCTCTACTTCGCGACCTTGTATATTTCACATCTCCTTATATATTTACTACTCCTCTTTTATTTGTTTTTTGTATTTTGTTTTATGTTGTTCTTGCTTCTGGTTCCTTGTGCAACAACTCTCCTTCTCGACTTCTATCAAACACAACCAGACCGGACCAAACGGACCTAGATCGGACCATCTTGAAACCCCCATTGGATTGGAATGGATGTCCTTTGAATATCCGTGGACTTAGGCTTCTCTTATAATCTCCCTGGATCAGACTCCTTTGCGCTCTCTCCTCTCACTCTTTCCTCGTCTCATCCGGGAGAGGACCATTGGATCCCCTCTACACAACCCCAAGGACAATGTATCCGGTTATGCTACCAACACCGCCACCATCACCGGCTCCCCGCCGCTATGCTCCCGAGGATCGTCTAGGACTCGTATTAGCCGACCGGCTGGAACTCACCAGAGTCTTGGGCGTCGGAGCCTACGGCGTTGTTTACACCGCTGTGGACATTCACACCAACGAAGTCTATGCCGTCAAGGTTCTCTGCAAGGATGGTCTGGATGCCCGTCAACTCAAGTTCCAGCAGCGCGAGATTAGACTCCATCACCTGGCCAGCCAACACCCCAACGTGGTTCCCTTAGTCCGCATCATGGATTCCGTGGATTGCACCTACGTCGTTATGGAGTACTGCCCAGAAGGAGACCTGTTCTCCAACATTACCGATAAGGGAAACTTTGTCGGCAATGACTTCTTGGCCAAGAGCGTGTTCCTCCAGATCCTGGATGCCGTACAATTTTGCCATTCTCTCGGGATCTACCACCGGGACCTCAAGCCTGAGAATGTCCTCGTGACCGATAATGGAATGACTGTCAAGCTTGCCGACTTTGGCCTGGCGACGACAGATTATTATACGACGGACTTTGGATGTGGTTCTACGTTCTACATGTCGCCTGGTCAGTGCCCCCAACCAACCTCTTTTTGTTATGTCTTTGTGGCTAATTTGACCTGTTTATAGAATGTCAACAATCCAACCCCCGACCCTCGTCCTGCTACATGTCCGCTGCCAACGACGTCTGGAGTCTGGGCGTGATACTTGTCAATCTAACCTGCGGTCGCAATCCATGGAAACGTGCCTCGATCGAGGATTCCACATTCCAGGCCTACCTTAAGGACCCATTCTTCTTGAAGACTATTTTGCCTCTCTCTTCCGAGATGGTTGGTATATTGAGCCGCGTCTTCGAGCTTGACCCAATTAACCGGATCTCCATCCCAGAGCTCCGCCAGCTCATTCTGGAGTGCCCCCGATTCACGGAGAATCCCGTGGTCCAAACCCCCTGGGTGCCGGAACAGATCGACTACATTCCCCAGCCCCAGATGCCATTGTTCATGGGCCCCATGGAACCCCTGTATGCCCAGACCTCTGGCTCTTCCTTAGACTCTGCGCAATACTCGGCCTTCTCCCAGTCTGCTGCTTCCGACGGTTCCGCTATCACCGAGGATTACTCGGATTTCGATACCATGTCGCCTGCAGTATCGGAGCAGGTCCCCGATTGCAAAGCGGTCTTCCCTTCTGTCTGCGCGGAGCCCTTCTTTCCCGCTGATCCCTTTGCTTATGGCCTCCTGCACCCCAACCTACAGGGCCTTGAGATTCCCGTCTAATTGCTCCTTGCCTCGCAGCTGCATGACTTGACGCTCTTCCCTTTCCTTTGCCATTCCTTGATCGAATGCTCTGGGGGATATCTGTTTACATATCTCGATCCCCTTACTCTCTTCTCTCTTACCTCCGCCACCGAGCGGACTCCAAAAGCTGCCGAACAACAAAAAAGTTGATCGCGTTGATCATGATCCACTGGACTCGGCTACCAGCTTTATTTTCCCTTGGACATATTTTACTCTTATTTTCCCGCCCTGGACCACCGGGACTTTCCTGGCTTTACGACCTTACATGGACCGTTTGATCACAGTCCTGTGTCTCCCTTGCGACCGGGTCTCCTTTCTTATTGTTTTAATATTTTCCACACATACCTGGATGGATTTTTTTTACGTTTCCATTTTTCTGGCGTGATAATACACTGGGAAGCATGATTTGAAGATACGCCCCTGGGAGGGCTGATGAAATACGGGGATTTGTTTGATTTTTTTTTGGATTGGTGTATTTGGACATCTCAACCCGGCGTTGACACTTCTTTTTTCGATGTTTGAATTCTTTGTTTATTTCTGGGGGAAGGCTTTTTGTTATTTTGACGACCTAAGGGTGATCAGTTCATTTCTACTCATATGTGCATAGACTTTTCGCATTGGCGGGACATTTCGGGACATCTCTTGTTCCCTTTCATTGATTCTTACGATATGATACCTCGGTGTGGCATGAGGAAATACTTCACAATCTACACCACTGCATTCTACCATTACTTCCACCTCCAATCTCACCTGAGCATGTTGTAAAGTTAACCGCCTTCAAAATACGCCCCTAGCCGCTTCCCAGTATACTGTCGTGCAACGTTGCTCCGTCCGACAATGGCCGAGACTCGATTGGGCATGAGGGGATGATGTTTTGTGTTTGGTCGTGTGTGATGGGCCCGCACCACCGTGGAACCTCTGACTGCCCAAGTGGCACGCAAAACAGGACAGATCCATTCCGAGTTGATGGTAGATGGGTTTCGGGTGAGTTGGATCAGGTCTTACAGTACGAACCCTATGCAGCTTGTGGTCAATTAACCTGATATATGCAGCATGGTGACATAGTACATACCAATGTCTTAACGATGATATATATACATACGGACTTTTAATAATGCAGAGATATACCATTCCATAAATTTGTTTCGCATACATCCAGCTCTAACCTCGGATATATACACACCGCTATTACATACAAAATCTACATATTCCGCCCACCGGTAACCCGAATCGTCTCCCCATTGACATACGAGAACCATGGCGACGCAACGCCCAAAATTGCCCTCGCAGCTTCAACAGGGGTCGCAGGTCTGCCTAGCGGAATATCAGGGTAAGTAGGAGCAGCAGCCGCCTCCTTCTCGCCCTTCTTAGTCGCAAGCTGCTTGCCTGGAATCCCCAGGGCAACCTTTGTGCCATCAGGCATGGTGACGAAAGCGCCTTCCTCCTTTGCGGCGGTGAGACGGGTCGTCACGAAGCCGAAGGCAATGGTGTTCGACCGCACACCGAATGATGGACCCCATTCTTTGGCGATTGTTCGGGTCAGGCCGACAACGCCGGCTTTCGCCACTGCATAATTGGCCTGGCCTCTGTTTTGATCCGTTAATATGCATTATGCAGGATGCAGTATTTGGTGTCGTTGGGCATTGGGAAAAAAAAACAAAGAGTGGAGACAGGGTCTTGGATATCGGGTACTTACGCATTGCCGTGGATGCCACTTGTGCTGCTGATGTTGATCACTACGCGCGGCTCTTGGTCTTTTACTCGGAAGTAGGGTGCTGCGGCGCGCACGAGTTGGAAGGGTGCGGTATTATGCACGGCTAGCATAGTGTCCCATTGCTTATCTGTCATCTGTGTGGGGAATTTGGATTGTTAGTGGAATTCTAGCTTGGTAGTATATATGTTCAAGCTGGGATCGCCTCACCTTGTGAATAACACCATCCCAAGTGAACCCGGCATTGTTCACGATAATGTGGATTTTGCCATTGCCGAACTCGGCGGTTTTCTTCACTAGCTCGGTGATATAGTTGCTGTCAAGGACATCGCCGACGACGGCGAGGGCACGGCCGGCCTTGGCGGAGTTGATCGCGTCGGCTACGGCGTTGGCTTTCTCTGTTTGTTTGTTAGATATCTGGGGATCGTAAAGGTGCACAAGGCCAATGTGTAATTATGGGTCTCGTACTGGCATCAATATCAGCGACTACGACCTTAGCGCCTTCATTTGCGAACAGTCGGGCTGCTTCGGCGCCGATGCCTTGGCCTGCGCCGGTGATAATGGCTACCTGGCCTGCTAGTAGACCGGCCGGGTAGTTGAGGTGTTCATTGACTTGATTGAGACGGTCGGAGGGAGCCATTTTGGAAATGATGGGAGAAATCAAAGTTGAGTGTTGAGCTTGTAAGAGGGGGAGGTCTTATACAACCTCTCGGCTCTGGGATCGCCGAGGCTCACCGCGGACCGAGATTGTGGGGTATACATAGTAGAGAGATGGGGGTTTATGACCACAATTTATTATGATATACATTGTATTTACTTTGCAAATTGTTATAGGCCGTATGTTTTTCAATTTTCTGTTAATATAGCCGATCTGCGTTTACTGTCCAGCTTGCGAATCCAACTCTGGCTTCTCCACGTTCTCTACATTCTTCCCCCCTAGCGTACAGTAACGACAGAAAACAGTTGACCTCCCGTATGTGGGTATAATTCAAAGAGACTCGTCATGCATCACTCGTCCAGATCCACAGATACACTCCCCCCATGAAGTTGACTGTAAGAACGCCGAGACAGTAGCTTCATAGCCTGCGATGATGGGAAGCAGGCCTTCGCTTCTGGGTGTACCGCTCGGAATATCGGTATCCAAGTCGGGAAGCAAGCCGACATGCTCTGAAGAAGCCCAGTGCTGACTGACGTGCTCATCTGATAGTTTCGATTCTGATAGACCTTCATGGTCGCTCAACTTGGAAATTTGAACATCGGCAGCACTAGCGGTACTTTTCAGAGCCAGCAATACATCCCGGCACTGTAACAACAGGCCTCGGAGTAGGAAGTTGCGTATCTGCCTGTTTTCCTCGTGGCAGATCTCATAGTATCCGTAGCGGATATCGACCCCGTGTTCTGGCCGCGGTGCGCGGGACGTCTCCCGCGAAACCCAGTACTCAAAGAGCTGGAGGGTGAGATTGAGTACTGAGATGGTCAGGAGCAGGTTCGCGCTGTCTTTCGCGCATTTAGTACACTGCAGGAACATCTGACAGGCACAAAATGTGCATTTGATTGTCTGCAGACTGTGATCGAGCCGCAGGGGCATTGATCCAGCGAGTAGGTGATTCAGCCGGTTCATATGAAATAACTGCATATCAACACACTCGCATGACGAAATTGGATACGGCGAAGTTACAGAGCCCGCTAGAGATGGACTTGCCATCCCGTCGGCCAATTCTCCGGACAGAAATGTCGGCGTAACGGGCGTATGTGGATATCCCAGACCAGCTGGGAGAGCAGGACATGGATCCACAAGATCTGTGAAGGGAGAGCTCTCAACAGTCATCAACTGCCCAGGGCAGATGGATGATTCTAGGGATGCTGTGTTGCCGAAGCTTCGGGGACTTTCCCAAAAGCCCGGCTGATTTGATATCAAGCAGGCCTATAGGACGGCAAATTATTATAAATATGCCAAATGAGTAAGCAGAAAGAAAAACCTACATCGTTGTCAATTGCTGGGTCAGGGATATGACTGCCATAGCTATTCCCAGCTAGCGGTTCCATGTCGGCAACAGGGGCGACAAGTCGACTACCGCGAAAGCCACGCATTGTGGGCTTCTCTTCTTGCAACTGACCTAACTTGCGGAGGGTAGCTCTGTTTTTGCTACCTTTTGGTTTACCGGATCGATTTGCAAATCCGTATTGGCACTGTAGGCCGTGACGTAGGCAACGAGTACAGACACTCTTGCCAGACAGGTTGCATTTCACTTTGGATTGCCTGCAGTTTTCGCACGCAGTTCGGAGTTTAGGTGTATCCCCGCCGGCATATGGATTGCCATTGGACTCTGCAAGCATTGTCTGTTTGGTGCTAGTTGTGGACGGGGGCAGTTGGAGGTGGGAAACACGAACAAAGATAGTAGGCCCTCCCAATACGATATCAATGACAGTACCTATCGCCCGGGGTTCGGTGATATATGGATATAGATGGAAAGGAAAAAGGGGAAAAAAGAAAAGAAAAAGGGAAAATAGAAATAGAAATCCAGGATCGATACGATGATACCGCACACATCCAATGAGGTAGATGCTTTACACCCCCCCTCTACACCCACTCCTTGTATATATATGAACAAGCTCAAGCTTCAGAGAAAAGAAATGTCACTCTGGCATTCAAATGCAGTACCGATGGCAGCCGCATACAGAGGTCAGCCGCTGTGAAACCCCATATGCTTCCATCTGATCAACCACGCATGGGACGCCAACGGGCACTGGTATTCCGAGGTTAAAAAGAAGCGTCTTTCCTCGCAATTCCTTCTTAAATCCGATCCAACCTGATCTGGTAAAAGGAAAATTGCTTTGGTTGACAGCGTTCGCTATTTTCGAACACTGCTCGTGATATGAGAAAACAGGGTCCCCCAAGAGAAACTGGCTAGGGGTCTTTTTGTTGGTAGTCGTCACACCCTGATGCAACATCGTAAACGCCAATTTCGGGGTTAAGTTTCTTGGTTATTGGAAAACCAGATGAACCTTTTACTAACAAGGGCTGTTGGTGTCCTATTCTGCTAGGGCCTGCTCTCTCGCCAATGGAACACAAGTACAATGGCCTCGAATGGACAACGCTGGGCACCATGTGAAATAGAAGCAAAAAAAAGGTCTCTTTTTTTTATCGGCTGACCGGGTCTAGTCCCTGTAAGTGAATTATGCGCTCACCGCTTCATTCCTTTGTCATTGTGTCATTGTTGCACATACTAATTCGAGTCATCGTCAGCAGGGGGACCTTTGACCCTTGAGAGATTCTTGAACATAAGCCGCGCCACGTACGCTACAACGTGAACATTTCATTCCATGCTACCTCTTAAAGAATGCCATGAGCATGTTGTCCAACCTCGAACTTGTGTTGCGCCAGACCCCGACTCAGCCGCGTGGAATCTGACAGGTCTCGGCAGCTCCGCTGTGCCGATAATCGAATGCCTTCAACAACCCTGTCAGGTGAGCTAGTGCTGCGCAAACTACTAGCACGTGGAAGATTTGATGCGAACTCCCCACAATGTCGAATTTCCCAGGCATGAGTCGCTCAGGTACTCGGGCAGCATAGATACCCGCTCCAAGTATATACAAGAAGCCCTGGAAAACGAGCCAGTTCAAACCGATCTGCTGTTGCATGCGGTCAATTCCGAAGAGGAAAGCCCCATGAAGTACGGGGAAGACGGCAGACAAGCCCATCCCAACAAACATGGTAGCGCGGAACGGACGCCAGCGTGGTGTGCGGAACCGGGGAGAAGCGGATACAATGACGCAGCATAGCCCAATAGTACAGATCATGGCCCAGTACCTGTGCTGGAGATCGGGTACACAGTAAAATCCGTAGAAGACACTAGGTACAAAGCTCCCCACAATGAGTCCCACAATACCGATGTAGTCGAGTGCGTTGCCAATGCGTGCAACCACAGGTGAATGGTTTGAGATGGTGTGATAGGTTGCGGACATGCCAAGACAGAAGGCAGCCCCGGCGAAGAAACAGGAAAAAGCGAGGATATCAGAATCGGCCGCATCCCGGTAACGCAGAGAAAGTAAGTGGTAGAGCCAGTATGCAACGGGGGCAGCCATTACTGCTGGCAAAAGGTGGGTATAGATGTTGACCGTCTCATTGTGAACGTAACCCAGCGATTGAAATGAACTTAAAAATGAGGACGAGGCGGGCCGATATCCAGTATGGATGTGATGGTTGTCGCGTTGCCAATGGGGTAGATCGTCCCAATGAAGAAGTCGCTTGACCAAGTTGTGAGCCTCCTCCCCGACAGTCATCTCTGTAGGCTGACTATCTACCGATACTTTCTGGTGTTCAATAGGGCGACGCTGGTGAAGCATGATCACATGTGATATGCGTGCAAGTATGCAATGAGTTACAGGAATGTTTTGAAGTTGACCAACAATAGAACAAGTAAGACAAGTCAGCAGATGAAATTCTTGGTAGAAAAAGAAAAGGAAAAAGGAGGAAAAAGCAGAAAAAGTCGAATTAAATATAGAAAATATAAAAAAGCTCGAGAAATTCCACCCGTTGGGCAGTTGAGGGAAATCGCCGTGTTGGGGGAAGCCTCGGCGTGGGAAGGAGACAAACAAGACAAACATCATATCAACTCCAACGGTTGATCATACACTATGTCAACACATGTCAACACATGGAAAGATGAGTCGCTTACGCCCAGTATCTGACTCTCTGGAAAATGTTGGATTCGTTTCAAAGGGGGATAAGAAGTGTGTTTGAGATGCGCAGTCTTTACAAATAAAGACTAACATGCTAACATTCGCAGACTGTTGGACCATAAGACTCAGACGCAATACTTCGACAAAATAGTGGATCGATACATGCGATTTTGTGCCCAGCACTCGAAAGACCTCGATGCAGCATTGGCCTCTCTTCCAACAAGTCCCTCAAACGATGCAACTTCCAATCCGCCCGCTTCCCGGTCGCCCTTGAAATTACACCCCGCACAAAAGGGCGTTCCGCCACCATCATCAGAACTATCCACACTTCTTCTCTCCCTTCGAAAGCTGCGCGAAGCCGTTCTGGCAACAGCCACAACTACACCGGCAGAATTCTCACAGCGGGTTCATGTATTCTCCATTCGCTTGTCTATTCTGGCGCATCACCCACCGTCATACTTCCCCTCTCTACGATACGTTCTGGATAAACTGCACTCTACATCTCACCCACTACCCGGTACTGAAGCCACGGAACTGGTCACATATTTGATTCTCGACTATGCCTGTCGGCAAGGAGATATGATTGCGGCATTTGAACTGCGTGCCCGGGCGCGGAAAGAACACTCCTATCAGTCACAGACAGTGGATAAGGTTCTGGCTGCCTTAATGCACGATAATTGGGTGGTGTTTTGGCAATTACACAACAGCGTGGATTCTCACATCCGCGCTGTGATGAACTGGGCTGCAGACCGAGTTCGCAGGCATGCGCTCAAGGCTGTGGGCAGTGCCTATCTTAGCGTGCACATCAGTTGGATTTTGGGCGGCTGCACAGGAGACGAGCAGAGTTGGACATGGGAGAAATTGGTTGAGCAAGAGAAGCTTCGCTGGGAGCGGGAAGATGATAGGATTATCATCAAGCGACTGAAGCAGAGGGCTCCTCCCAAGCCGGAGCCAGGCGCGTCGAGTGCATGAGTACATGTCGGGCTAGACTTTCTTTGGACAAAAGCATTCAGTGGCGTTCGTTTCATTGCATGGCGTTGGTTGGGAAAACGTCGTATCATTAGCAGACGGATATCATTCACGGAGTATTAATTATTATTTAGATTGTGTGCAGACAGATTGAATTCAATGGCCCCCAGGGCGAAGTGATTTTCAATTTAAAGCGTTATAACTTCAGGTCCGAGTTTGGCCGATCTAGATTGGTCTCTCCGATGACAGGTTGTTTTGATATCGTATCGGCCAGCTGCCCCTTCATTTGAGTTGCTCTGTCGGTACAAAGCTCGTAGACTGTCGACAGATTGAATATCAAACTACTAAACGAATGGTTGGATGAGACCTGGGCCTCAAGCAGCTGACGAGACTAAGAACAAACAATCAGTCAATAGGTCCAAAGCACCCTCCAAATAGGCGTATAGTATACGGATCAAATACCTCATCGAGTTGTCCACTGTAAAGAAGACATACAGCCAGATTTTGAGCTACCAGAGCCCCATCCGTCCTTGTCTTATCCTCCCCGAGAGTGCGCCACTCAGCCACTGCATCGGCGAAGCGACCATCTGACATGCTTATCAGGGGCTTCAGTAAAGCAGCCTCTTTCGTCTCATTAACGTCGCCAAATACCTCGCTTGCTGCATCTAGATCACCAATCCGCAGAAGCAAAAGTGCTTTCCTTAACTTTGTGATGTCTGACTCTGGCCCAGGTACCCGGAGATTATCAAGTGATCTCCTGGCTGCATCAAAATCACCCATCTCTATAAGCGCATTCACGCTTCTAACCCCAAGATCTGCCAATCGCTGTTTCCATAATTCACGCTCATCCTCATTAGCTTCACTTCTCATGATCTCTTGACGCACTTCCAGGCCGATCTCGTACAGACCACCAATGCTTCGGCGAGAATCACCAAAGCCTATGCTCTGGAGTCTCACGGCTAGTACGCGAAGCGGCCATGGAACGATATGACGAGGATCTTGTTCATGTTCATGTTCGTGTTCTGAGTCTTTATCATTATCGACTGCAGCTGATTCAGGCTTGAGATCGACGTAATAAAATGCTGAACTCAAATCTTCCAGGGCTTTCGATTCCTGTGCAGCGAGAACTGTATTCCCTGACAGATCCAAGCAGGCTAGGCGCGTGTAGAAAAGGGAGAAGATAATCTTTATATCCGTCGGAGATATTAAAGACGAGGTCAAGATCGAAGCTGAGAAGTGCGCTGCAATGAGGAATCGACCTTCACCCAATAACTTTTCGAGGGTGCCTAGGGAAGTTGATAGAGGCTCTCCTGGGTTGAGGATAAGGAATTCAGATCGTAGTGGCGAAGGGATGTCAAGATGAGAGAGGGTATGGAAGTTGCTATGCCGAAGAAGGAAGGAGAGGTCTTTTTCTACCGTTTCAGGTAGATCGTCTGGCGCGAGTGGATCTAACTCGTAGAAGGATGCCCCAGAAAAGGTGTCGTCGGCAGCAAGCATTGATTTGTGTTTGATAGGCGAGGTTGGTGTTTCGGGGAGAGCGAGAGGGCTGGATCATGTGAGATAAAATACATAGCGTTGGAAGCCAAGGTGCCATGCTCACTCATCTAATGCATCTAAGGGACCTCTTGTCGAGCTGCGGGGCCGAGAAGCTGCATAGGCAATCAGTAAGGGACGGTCGAAGCGTGAGGGGAATGAAGTGAGCACTTACACCTGGAGATATTCCGAATGTGCTTGCCTGGTGCTGAATCCATCTCTACAACCTTCGATGTGTTTTTGAGATCAATTAGAAAGAAAAGTAGAGTGACTTGGGGAAGTATTGTAATTGAAGTCGAAGCAAAACACCCGATAAGCTATCGGATTCTGCCAGGGCGGTATGCTCCGGATCTGGCGACTTGGCCGCGATCTGGCGTTGCCGAATGCAACAAGCTGTCAGCCATACGTTCCCTACCCTTTTCTTTTCTCTTTTTTTTTCATTGATCTTCGCTCGGATCTTTTACCACTCCTTACTTTATTAATTGATTTGTGGGGGTTTCAAAATGGCCGCGGCTAAGAACAAGTACTCCGTCATTCTTCCCACCTACAATGAGCGGAGGAACCTCCCTATCATTATCTGGCTGATCCAGAGAACCTTCAACGAGGAGTATGCGCTTACGCTGATATAAATTAAGAGTGCTGGGGCTAACGTTTCTTTTCTTTAATTGTAGGAAGCTTGATTGGGAGGTTATTATCGTCGACGATGGATCCCCTGATGGTACCCTCGAGATCGCGAAGCAGCTCCAGAAACTCTATGGCCCCGAACACATCATCCTCAAGCCCCGTCAGGGCAAGCTCGGTCTGGGTACAGCTTACGTCCACGGCTTGAAGTATACTACCGGCAACTTTGTTATCATCATGGACGCAGACTTCAGCCACCACCCCAAGTTCATCCCTGAGATGATCCGAATTCAAAAAGAGACCGACGCCGATATTGTGACCGGAACCCGATATGCGAACCGTGGAGATGTCAAGGGTGGTGTTTACGGCTGGGACTTGTTCCGCAAGTTCACTTCGCGCACTGCCAACCTCATCGCGGACGTCATGTTGATGCCCGGTGTGAGTGACTTGACTGGTAGCTTCCGGCTGTACAAGAAGTCAGTGCTTGAGAAGGTTATCCTCAAAACCGAGAGCAAGGGCTACAGCTTCCAGATGGAAATGATGGTCCGTGCTAAGGCAATGGGCTACAAGGTGTCCGAGTGTCCGATTACCTTCGTCGACCGTCTGTACGGCGAGAGCAAGCTGGGTGGATCTGAGATTGTCGAGTACCTCAAGGGCGTGTTGAGCTTGTGGGTTAAGGTCTAAATCGGGCCTTGCCACAGGGACTTTGGTGCCCCAATACTTCGATTGATCTTTGCCCCTAGTCCAACATGGTATCATGACTGGACTTGCCTACTGCCCGTGCTGTGATATACCCCTTTCTGACCTCCATTATTCTGAATCCGTGCACTTCTGGGTGGTCTTTGAATGACCTGTTTATTGTCGATATCAATTCAACGTTCTCTTGTCTTCTGGATTTCACGTTTCTATGCTTCAATATCATCAACCTCCGGCGCTCAGAGGGCCTGGAGATATCGTAGAATTCGCTCAATGAGGTCTTGCTGACCTTCGCCATGAACATTGTGGCTGGCTCCGGGGACGACCCCGCTGTTTTCCGCATCCCACTTGGCGCCTCCGGCTTCGGTGGCCTGCTGCCATCTCTGCAACAGCTTTTCCTTATCCACCCAATGCGGGCAATACTCATCTTCGCCAGAATACAAGACCAATAACTTTGATTTGATAATGCCCTGGGTTCCCACCATACCAAAAGTGTCTTGCAAACGCTTATCACTCAAGTCGGAGCTGAAGAGATCGTCCTCAGATGGGTTGTCGGGGCTCTCTGGGCTGACCAGACTCAAGAATCTCCGGGCACTGAGAGGCGTGTCGGGAGGATAAGAAAGCTTCGCAGTCAAGTTCATTGGCAAAATTGTGTCGTTCTTCTCTGCTGTGTATGGTTGATCCTTGGAAAAGCCCACAAGCTGATCGTAGACCTTTCTAAGCTCGTCGGGCTGTGGAGAGGAATCGATAATAGCCTGTAGACCCTCTCTGTCAGAAGCAGGCGCTTGCATAATAGCACCATCGAGCTCAGGGCGGACCATGTGCTGAAGGCCAAAATCAAACTCCTTGTGTGGCACGGGGTTCGGCGAATAAAGATAGTGGAGCACGTCCTGGCTTCCGGTCGAATGTCCCATGACGGCAATCTTTCCGGCTTTTGTCGGTGCGCCAGGTTGGCGTGACGCCTTGAGATCGCGAATGAACCGCGCACATTGCCCGATTTCTTCTATATCACGATCAAGGCTTCCGACTCCCCATCCGGCATAAGAGGATGAGAGTAGGACAGAGAAGACCGACCATTCGGTGTTTTCCAGAGCTTTGGCTAGTTTAGAGACATAGGGAACAGTACAGAATCCATCTGTCAGTCCGCCCACAAAGATAAGGCTGTTTGTCTTGTTGATCCCCTCTGTTGGTGGGGTGAACTCAAAGGCCACAAGTTTGGGAGCCTGTGGGTATTAGCTTGGCGTTGAGAATGAACAGGGTGGTATAGTATACGTATTCGTGGAGGACTCCGCTATGCGATGGCCCCCGACTAGCGTGTGAGGACATGGTTGAAACGTGGTGGTTGTTGGAAAGGTGAGATCATGTTAGGAACGAAGGTGGGAGATCAGCATTTGACGCAGGCGGGGTCGGCCATGTGTGCACATTGGTCCTCTCTGGTCTCATGAACTTGGAAATTCTATTTATATTTTTTGATTATATTATACCGATGACTCTTGCTCTGCGACATACATATTGCTCCGTACAGCAGCTCATACTACACGTTTTAGGCCTAGCCACGTCCACCCTGTCGCCAAGGACGATCCGCATGAACCCTATACGATGTACCTCGTATATCTGACATTCCAAAACACCCTGCCTATCAAGGTGTGAGGTCTCACTCATTTTGCTGCCATGAAGCCGACCGCAAAAATACGTTTTTCTATGAGAAGCATACAGCCAACTACAAAATGCCGATATATCGGAACTACAAGCTCGCGGATCGATCAAACAATGCGGCTCTCGGATGGGAGGACCCTAGGCTATGCCGAATATGGCTGCGAAACAGGCTACCCCCTGATGTTCATGCATGGCTATCCCCAATGTCGTCTTGAAGCCTCTGCGATCGACCATATCTTTCGCCAACGCAGAATTCGTGTGGTTGCCCCGGAGCGCCCAGGCTTCGGCCTCTCCACAGTCCAACCCAACCGGCGAATCATGGACTGGCCCGCCGATGTTCAAGAACTGGCTCATCATCTCAGCCTTTCCCGCTTTGCCATCATGGGCGGCTCTGGCGGTGGGCCATATGCGTTAGCGTGCGCGCAGATGCTCCCTCAAGACATGATGTCCGCAGTCGGTATACTTGCCGGAGCGGGCGACTGGAGGGCTGGGGCTCATCACATGCCTTGGATCTATCGTGCGTCGATGCTAGCAGCAGATCACTGGCCAGCGGGACTACGGGGGCTGTTGACATTTGCGGTTTGGATGTTTAGAAATGTGTTGAATACACAAATGGCAACTCGGAGACTCAATGAATACCTGCTAAAGGACCAGGACCAACATGCCGATTCGGTCGAGGAACGAAGAGCCCAATTGCTGCGCATGCTATTTGAACCTTTCACGCAGGGCGCTGGCCCCGCTGCATACGAGGCAAAGCTATTGTCACAAGAGTGGGGCATCGAGTTCGGCGACATCAGTTACAACAACCTCCATATCTGGCATGCAGGGAAAGATTGGAATTCGCCGCTGCCCATGACGGAGTACTATGTTAAACTTCTTTCTAACAGCCCATCCTTCAAAGTGTTCGAAGGCGATACACACTTCACTATTCATAGGCATCTGGACGAGATCTTGTCGGAGCTGATTCCTGAGATCGTAGCATGACAGCGAGAGTCTAGATAGGCCATTGCTTTAGAACAAAGAGTGTGTGTGGCACTCTAACTCTGTTGCGATGATACCATATCATGTACATTTCCTCCACTCAATCACTTCTCGATATATCAAATCTTGCTGGTAGATCTATGGTATGGGGATGGTCATGCTGTAGCATCCTGCACACCTCTCCTTTGAAAGGATAAAGGGACAAATAGTTCTGGCAACCAGACAGCGACGCCAATTCACTATTTACACGGTAGAAACATTAGTTTTTGAACTGGGTTACCGCTGTTAGACATTAATATAAACTCAGTTCCCACGAAGACACAAGAGCGATAAAATTTGTGAGGGTGCTGTGTAGCACATGAGGCCATCAAGTCTCTGGGTTAGGAAAGTGATATGTACGTAGTTCGACACACCAGATCATCCCTGTAGGAGATCTATATATATAGAATTGTAGTACACATCGTTGGACGTGATATATGTTGTAATGGGATAGTTACCTAAGGAACAGATTTCACACCAGGAAGGGACTGTTTGATGAGTTTCGATCGCAGGAAACCTCGTGAAAGAAGCCTGAGATATCTGAAGCCCTTTAGACTTGAATATTAATTCATTTCGATGATCAAACGAGGGATGTAGTCCACGGGTTTGATCCGTTGGTGCCTTAAATACAAGGCTATAAAGTTACCCATTTTGGGGCTAGCGTCACCGCCCTTGACCTTCGTGTATTGCTGAAGCTTCTCTATTTCTCAAATCAAATAGTGGGCGTCTCAATACACAAGGTTGTAGCTGCATTGCTCAGTGAAACTTACCTTACTGAGATTTGGACAATTTGACACGATTTGCGCATGCAGACTGCTGTTGTCATTGGCCATCGTTAACGACGCGACCTATTCAAACATGCCTTCCGGCCGCAGGTCTGGCCGTTTCAAAGGTCCTAGGGCGGTTTACATCGATGATCCATTTAAAGCAGCTGGGATCAGTGATGATGAGGACTCCATCAAGCAGGAAATTTCTCGCAAGGGGAAAAAGAAGCGCACCCCGACAGATGATTCAGCCTCAGATAATGAATTTGTGGCTGGTTCAGGCGAAGAGGCCGATGAGGGAATTGAGGAAGAAGATGAGGCAGAAGATGAGCCCGAAGAGGAATTTGGATTAGAGGCCGACGCCTCTGACCCCGAAGAAATGGAGATCGACAGCATCGAGAATACTCCTAGGAAAGACCGGTCGATATCGTCCCAACACGATGTGATCTTCAAGAAGCGAAGGGCGGATGGAACAGTTGTGCCATCCGCTGAAGAAACACACATTCGTGGCATCATTGAACCCAGAGATCACTTGTCTAAAGGCACCTATTACACTCTCACTTTCGGTTCCGACGATCGAGATCTGATGCCAGCCGTCCACTTCCGAATGCGATGGAACAAGGGTATAGATGCGGTCTTTCCCTCTCGCTTCACCTTGGAGGAGACAGAGAAGAAGCCTGAATATCTATACGGGCCCACATTTGGGGTTCACCCGGATGATGTTATGAAAGAAAGCACTCGTGGATGGGATTGGTACTACGACCGGGACACCGGCTCTAGGTTCCGAAAAAGACAGCGGATTGAGACGATTGAAGAGTCAATGGCGTTCCAAAATTACCTGCCTCGACCCGATACGCGAAAACATGGCATTTTAATGGGACCGCATGATAATCAACAACTATATGAGCTGGGCTATCATGAGACTTTTGACTTTGGAAAAGCCTGGGAGAAATCAGGCTCTAAACCAGACGCATCAAAAACTGGGACCAAAAGGATTCGGGAAGGTTGGATGCTAAACATCGGCCAAAAGGCACATTGTATGACCTGGGCTCCAAATCAAAATGGTCTGACTCAGTATCTTGCTGTGGCGGCGCCGATTACAGAAGATCAGAAAAACCAGTACAAATCCGAAGAAAGTGAGCCTATCTCATCGTTTCAACCATCAGAGCCTTTCCCTAGTGCCCTGCAGATCTGGGAGTTCAAAGGGAACCCGAGCGAGACTCCTACAATGACTCTCGACATGGAATCCAAGCCCCGGCTTCGACAAGTTTTGTGTGCTGATTGGGGGGACCTGAGACGCATGGTATGGTGTAATATGCCCCGGGCCGAACGAGCGGAGGACGATGAAGATGAAAAAGAATCTATTGGTTTACTCGCAACAGTTTGGGGGGATGGTTATGTCCGAGTTTTGGATATAAAAACAGGTAGAGGGTCACAACAAACTGAATTTCGTGAGTACACCTTTTGAGAGATTTTCACGAGTCCCGCTAATATACAGGATATAGTCAAAATCAAATCGCCTGCGTTTGAGGCAAAACCGCCATCAACAGTTTGCACATGCGTCACTTGGCTATCCCCCAGTGACCTTGTAGTGGGCTGCGGTAATGGCTTTGTGGCTATCTGGAACATCGAGCCTTCCTCTGCGTCTGAACCTACACCTTTCTTCTATCGGCCACTCCACGCCACCTACATCCTCAATATCACATCAGCATACCCGGTCCATCCCCAACTAATAATCACCATTGCTATGGATGGTGAAACAAGGATGTGGTCGGTCCTCGATCCTACCAGTGAAATGGCCTCGACGGGCCGCATGCGAGGAGCCTCTCCCTACATCAGCTATTCACCCATCTGCCAGTCCGTGATTGCCGGGGATGAAAATGAATTTGCTCGCATAATTCCAATTCGACGGTTTTTTACCACCACCACCATTGCGCGGCTCAGCAGCACCATCTCGGCCATGGCACAATGCAGTAATCATCACCCCTGTGCCCTGTTTGGCAGTGCCGCAGGTGAGGTCGTAGGAACAAATCCATTCCGACGAATTGTTTACAATAAGGAGCAAATTTGGCAGCAGATATGGTTCACACATGAATGGGTTCCCACCTCCAAAACGGACACTGTGGGCACCAGTCGGTTTCACGACGGACACCGAGCAGAGAACCAGAAGCTGGCAACGTACAAGCTGTTCGAGACCAACCCCGTCAATGGAATGGGGACCTCGACGATCTTCGAGGAAAATACTCACGTCACAGCCCTCGGGTGGAACCCCAACCGCTCTTGTGCGGCGTGGGCCAGTGCTGCGCTGGGGTGTGGATTGGTGAGAGTGGAAGATCTTGCTATCTAGTGCCACGGCAGCAATCAGGACGGCTGTGTTGATGGAACAGGATATCTGCCTAGATCATCCTGTCAACCAGGGTCATGGGCACATCATAGTTGATCTATGAAAAGAAACTAGGCGACAGTGAAACAAAATATACCATGTCAGTTGTATCACAGTGGACCCCCGGAGCCCCCAGCCACACAGATTGCTTACTTAACATCGCTATGGGAACCCCACCACAACATCGTGGTTGGCAGATGTGCCATGTGGATCCACCCAGATCTTGCTCCACCCAATCAAAGTTAATATGAGCCAATTAAAAATAAATTAAAAACATAAAGGCCATGGCTGGATTGACGCCAACCCAGCCACCGTAGATCCCAGCCGCCTATTTTTGGCCCAATAGAAGTACACTTCACCGTGATAGTAGATCTTTTTCGTATGACTTTTAAACACAGATTTGAGTCCTTCTCTTTCATTCTCAATTCTCCATCTTCCATCCAAACCTCTCTCCCAACATCACTCATATCTCCACTGTCTTGTTTACATCTCAGTCTTCAATTTCAAGCGTCTTTCTCTTTTCAATTATTATTGCAAGCTTCAATTACTCCACGCCATCATGCATTTCTCTTCTGCTGCACTCCTCGCCCTTTGCTCTATCAGCGTGACCTACGCAGCGCCTTTCGTCAATCCCGAGGCCGATGAGCTCGCTCGCCGCGCAACCTATTCCGTGGTCAATGCCGATGAAGAGTCTTCCAGCTCAGTTGCACGTGAAGTCGACACTGTCTTCGAAACCTCCACTGTCACTGCTCCTGGTGCTGACCCAGTGCCCATCACTGTGACTGTGACTGCCACACCTTCAAGCGTGACTCAGTCCTCGACTCCTGTGGCTAGTTCCACTCCGTGCTGGGAGACCCCTAATGTCCTTCCAACCGCTGGCTCTTCTTCTTTCTTCCGCCGGGGCCTGAGAGCCGCTGGTCAGCCTGCTCTCTTTGCTCGCGACTACTTTAGCTCTTCTTCTGCTGCAGTTTATGCGAGCGAGTATCCTACTGCCTCTGCTGCCGAGTCTCTTTATGCTCGTGGCTGGTACTCTGTTGCTTCTGGTACTCCTTCTGTTACCACTCCTACTGCTTCGCCTACTCTTGTGGCTCGCGGATTTGGTGGGCTGTACTCTTCCGCTTCTGTCTCACCTTCCAGCCCGAGTGCTTCCGTCGCTGCCACTCCTCTCGTCGCACGTGGCTTGTTTTCTTCTGCTGCTACCCCCTCTGCCTCGGCGACTCCCTTTGTGACTCATGTGGCTCGTGTGGCTCGCGACCTTGGTGACCGGTTCTCTTCCGCTTCCCCTTCTTACTCTAGCGTGAATGTCCCTCTGTCTCCTACTCCCCTCGTTGCCCGCGGTTTACACGCTTCTCCCTCCGGCACTCCCTCCAGCTCTAGCATCACTACTTCAGCTGCTCCTCTTGCTGTCCGTGGCCCCTATGGCTGGTACTCTCCCGTCCCCAGCGCTTCCTCCGTTGCCACACCTTCTGCCTCTCCCGCTCTTGTGGCCCGTGGCGTCCGCAGCTGGGGCTCTTCCAGTGTTTCTTTGCCTGCCTCCAGCACTTTCGCTGCATCGGCTACTCCTGTGGCCTACTAAGCCACACGACACGAGATAAATGATTTAGCTTCTTCCGAAGGAGTACGAGCAAGGCTTTCCATGAACCGATGAAATCCTTGATTTATGGCACGATATGATTGCAACAACGAAAAAGAAAAAGATTGTGAATGACTTGATTTAACCTCATCACGGTTTTGGGGATGCATATTTGACTGGCGTTTTTACCGGAAGCGATTTTGAAATAACTACAATTCTTCATGTGTCTTCTACTTCTTGTGGATAAGGGATTGGGTTTTGTTTCGCGTTGGCTTGGCCTACATAGACTGGATAACATTTGATGGGCCCCCAAATTACATAGAATGGTTGCACGACGCACCGAGATTAACAAAATGAAATGAATATTTTTTTATGACAATATTCTTGATATCATACATAATTTACATAATTTACACAACTTCCTTGAAACTTTCGAAGATCAGGGTACGGAGTAGATAAAAAGAGCTTATGTAACGCGTTCATGGTCCGCGGGCGGCCGCGCGGTGGTTGCCCCGAGAGACGCGGCCCGTAAACAGCACATCATCCCTCTCACCTTGAACCTTGGAACTTCGACTTGTGACCTCCAAGGGTCTTTTGTGTTGATACATTTTTTTTATTCTTCAACAGCTTATTGTTCTTATTTTTTTTTTCTTTGTACCTGTGATTTCAACACACTTCGATTGCATGCGCAAAGGCTGGCCGAGGCTCAACATCGATAAAAATGCCGGGGACAGTGGCAGATGGACCTACGGTCTCCATGTCTTGTATGTGGTACTACACTAATATATCCTTGCACGCACTAATAATTAGTTTAGTTGCCAACAATTTTTGGGGCAGAGATGATGCAGGACTTCAACCAATGTTGGACCGTGTGCATGGTTCAAAGATCACAAACGACGAACTGAAAGTTTTCTACAACAGTACGTGACATCCATGCGGCCGCGGCAAGATCGAATTCTAACATGTTTATAGTTCGAGCCTCTATCGAAGACGAATATGCACGGAAACTCCAAGCTCTGTGTCGCAAGTCCTTGGGATCATGCGAGACAGGGTCGCTCCGAGCGTCACTCGACGTGGTTCGTGGCGAGACTGAAGCCATTGCTAAGGCACACGCCGCCATTGCGGGGCAAATGAAGATAGAATTGGAGGAACCACTTGGCGCTTTTGCTAGTGGTATTAAGGAGAGACGAAAGATTATTCAACAGTGCATTGAGCGCTTACACAAGACTAAAATGCAACAGACACAGCTTGTCAACAAAGTGAGTGAGCCGGTGGAGTGATGAGAGACAGCATACTAATTGTACAGACGCGTGATCGTTACGAGCAGGATTGTCTCCGCATCAAGGGATACCTCGCGCAGGGCCATATGGTCATGGGCCAGGAAGAGCGCAAGAACAAGGCTAAGCTAGAGAAGACTCAGATCCAGATGGCATCAAATAGCCAAGAATATGAAGCGGCCGTCAAACAACTTGAGGAGACAACTGGACGCTGGAATAAGGAATGGAAGTCAGCATGCGACAAATTCCAAGATTTGGAAGAGGAACGTTTGGACTTCACAAAAAGCAGTCTGTGGACCTACGCGAACATTGCTTCAACTGTTTGTGTCAGCGATGATGCTGTATGTTTATTCTATCCAAGCCCATTTTGCAATACTGACTAGACATATAGTCCTGCGAGAAAGTCCGTCTGTCCTTGGAGAACTGTGAAGTCGAGAAGGATATTATTTTCTTCATCAAGGAGCAAGGAACTGGCCAAGAGATCCCGGATCCACCCAGGTTCATCAACTTCTGCAAAGATGATGACTCGGGCTCTGATATGGATGAAGCCGACGGCTACTCCGTAGCCCAGTTCCAGCGCACCATGAACCCTGCATTCCGCACATCCTCTCCTCAACCCTCAACATTCGATTCACACCATGACCCACAGTCAGACCTCGCAGCTCAAATGGGACATCCTGCTCCTCCTGCCGTTGGCAATGCGCCGCCACCTCAGCAGCAACCGCCACCCTTGCAGCAGCATCAACCGCCACCCTTGCAGCAGCATCAACCGCCACCCCCACAGCAGCATCAGCAGCCACCCCCACAGCAGCATCAGCAGCAGTTCATGCAGCAGCAGCCTCTCATGCACCAACAGCCGCCCCCACAGCAGCAGCAGTTTATGCATCAGCAGCCCCTCATGCACCAGAAGCCTCCTATCCAACAGCAGCCTCTGATGCAACAACAGCCTCTCATGCACCAGAAGCCTCCTATCCAACAGCAGCCTCTGATGCAACAACAGCCTCTCATGCACCAGCAGCCTCCTATCCAACAGCAGCCTCTGATGCAACAACAGCCTCTCATGCACCAGCAGCCTCCTATCCAACAGCAGCCTCTGATGCAACAACAGCCTCTCATGCACCAGCAGCCTCCTATCCAACAGCAGCCTCTGATGCAACAACAGCCTCTCATGCACCAGCAGCCTCCTATCCAACAGCAGCCTCTGATGCAACAACAGCCTCTCATGCACCAGCAGCCTCCTATCCAACAGCAGCCTCTGATGCAACAACAGCCTCTCATGCACCAGCAGCCTCCTATCCAACAGCAGCCTCTGATGCAACAACAGCCTCTCATGCACCAGCAGCCTCCTATCCAACAGCAGCCTCTGATGCAACAACAGCCTCTCATGCACCAGCAGCCTCCTATCCAACAGCAGCCTCTGATGCAACAACAGCCTCTCATGCACCAGCAGCCTCCCATCCAACCGCAGCCTCTCTTGCAACAGCAACCGCCGTTAGAGCCACAACCCGAGCAACCGGCGCCTTTAGACTTCCGCCGTGGAGGTGCACCGCCTCCGAACTATGATCCCGAGCAACATGGAGAGATTGGAGCTGTTCCTCACAACGCATACCCCACAGATGGTATGACCATGTTCTGTCGTGCCGGGCCACCCTCAGAGCGAAGCTCAGCGACGAGCGCGTATCGACCATCTAGCCGTGACTCTCAGAGCGAAGTTTCGAACTCAACCTCCATCTCCAGTGTCGAGGAAACCCCTACCAAGAAGTCTGTAGTAAAGCCAACAAACAGTGCGCCGATGTCAATTTCCGGGGATGACAAATCACCAAAAAAGAAGAGTGCTTTCTTCAGCAACAGCCCCTTCCGTCGCAAGAGTCGCCATGACAAAGAAAGGCCTGTTATTGCTTCACAGCAAGTCGTCTCTCCACAGGCGGTTGTTTCACCCCAACCAGCTTCGCGTGGTGGTTGGGATTCCCCGACAAAGCAAATGAGTCCGACGAAGCAAACTAGCCCACCCAAGCAAATGAGTCCCCCAAAGCAAGTGAGCCCACCCAAACAAGTCGTTAGCCCGCCCAAGCAAATCATCCCGCCCAAGCAAGTTAGCCCACCCAAGGAAGTCAGCCCACCCAAGCAGGCTAGCCCAACCAAACAAGTCAGCCCAGTCAGGCCTTCAGCAGGCCCGCCGGGTCGTGCCTCTGGGAGCCCGGAACCTGTTGATCCTCGAGCCAACTTCCAGCTTAATGTTGGGAATAATGTCTTTGATGTCGCATCCCCAGAAAAGAGTTCACCCCAGAAAGGAGCACAGCCAAACCAGGCATCTGAGGATGACTTGGACCCTATCGCGCGGGCTCTAGCAGACCTCAAGACAAGCGGTAAGCAATCGGCTACTCGGGTATCAGCAGATAGATATCATGGCATCTCTACACCCACTCCTTCCACACAATCCTCCGCCTATGGTGGCAGTAATGCTAGCGTTGCTGCTCCGCCACCAGCATACAATGATCCCGCAGTCAAGCGACTTGGCGCACCTCAACCGGCCTTTACGGCAAAGCAAATGCACAAGACCACTCAGAAGTATACTGGTCAAACTCAGAGCATGCTTCGAGGACAAAACAGCAGCATGGGGTCTAGACATAGCGGCCAAACCCAAGAAGCCCCCCGAGCTAGGTCGCCAGCACCAGCACCCCGAGCTAGATCGCCAGCACCAACATCCCGAGCTCGATCGCCAGCACCAACATCCCGAGCTCGATCACCAGCACCAGCACCCCGAGCTAGGTCGCCAGCACCAGTATCCAGACGGAGCGTCAGCCCTCAGCCTCAGGTTGCTTCTCCACGCGTGGACACTCGGATGAGCCAGAATAGTGGCAGGGGCCCGAGCCCAAGTCCGAGTAGTTATCATTCTAACAGCATGCGAAGTCAATACAGTCCATCGCCCACTCCCCGCCGTACTCAAGATCCACCCTATTCTCCAAACGATTTTGCTCGGAGGGCCTCGCCCGCTATGAGTCACCGTGCTGTATCCCCGCAGCCCCAGTTCAGGCAGCAAGCTCGTCCTTCTAGTTCTGGTGGTATGGAGCTGCAATTGTCTGGAAGCCACGATATGTACGGCTCTAGCAGTGCCAGTGCATATGGTGGCTCGGTTCGAGGAAGCAGCCGCCCATCATCAACTTATGGTGATGGCCCGCCTATTGGCCGGTCTCGGAGCCGTACCATGGCTGTTGCAGAGCCTGGACGCAAATTCAGCCGCGATGGCCGTCCCATCCTGCACTTCGGTAAGCATTTATTTCTCCTTTTGACAATGCGTTACTTGTATCTAACTTGATTTCACTCTCCCCAGCTCGTGCCATGTACACCTACAATGCCGCGATCCCTGAAGAGCTCAGCTTTGGCAAGGGCGATGTCCTTGCCGTCATTCGCTTGCAGGATGACGGGTGGTGGGAAGCCGAAGTCACCAACGCCCGTGGCCACCCTGGTCTCGTGCCAAGCAACTATCTGCAAATCATCTAATACCCCATTCATCTCACGACCCGCCACGACCCTCGAAACCTTCGTCTGACGGTGATGCTCTCCCTCATGTTCTCACGTAGATATCATGCTTTTCGTCGACTTTATTTGCACATTGGCGATTTATTTCTGATTCTACTTCTATTTTTCTTTCGTTCTCAACATGGTGCTACAGTCCCGTCTTGACATCACTGAACAGCCTGTTTAATCATATTATTCTGTTCTTGCGGATGTTTTTGGAAACTTTAGCGTATGTGTTTTGGGAATCTTTTTACCAAGTGCTTCATGTTCGAACGAAATTGTATGATGAGCAATCTCGGGCCATGAAGACCTTGGCGCTTTATGGTCTTTCCCCTTTCTTATTCCCCCTTCTTTGCTCGGTTCACGATAATTTGTTGTCATGGAGGATACGATATTCTTTGTTCTAATTGATGCTCTCTTTTCTACGATATATTTCCCATAATATATGTAAGTAGTAGGCATGTCATGATATCAGTGACTTAAATTCAATTGAACACAGTCTTCGTGTATACTTGACGATCCCCTCCTGTTGTTAAATTACCGTACCCTAGGTGGTAGATTGAAACCCTTTCCTCTAGATTGTTAATGGATCTAGGATCCCTACTACCCGATTACGATCGACATGGCAGAAATTAAAATCGAGGCCTAGTTGATCCTTACTTGGAATGCAAGCTATAAGATTAATGAGACTATCTATCCCCCGCTCTAGAGAGCCAGAATCTAACAGAATAACGAACTCCTTAATTGAGTTTTTTATTCAAGAATGACCACAGGAAGATATATGGGCATCGGGGGAAGGTATGAATCGAGCAGATGCATATAAATAAAGAGTCAAACCCGGGGGAAAGGGAAGCTACCTAATGGCGGGACTTTTACCTCAAACGGAAGTTCCGATAAACTCTAATTTAACCATGGAAGTCAGGATATTATTAGCGCACCAATGGAAGATTATGATTTAAAGTTACCTGGAGCGGAAGAAGATACATAACTACGTAGTAATTGCATACGTTAATAGTATACGATGGGAGTTAGTGATAGAAGCTTTAACTCAAAGTCTCGTTTTATGTATTTTGTAGCTTTCTCTTTCGTGTCATCCTTTGAGTGCTTTGGGTGTTTTATTGTCTACTGTATCACAATTGAATATTATAAGTCACTATGCTGTCATTTTAGCTTATTTAAACCTAACATTAGATTATTCAGACGCGCCGACGTCTCATTGCCATGGGCAAATCCCCTGGGTTCGAGTTGAACCGTTCTTGTGTTTCCAGCTGGAAACCCTCATCGATATCACCATCATATAATTTGACAATGGTAGCAATCACCACAGCTTGCTCAAAGTAGGAGATGTTGCGGCCAATGCAGGCTCGGGGACCCGTGCTGAATGGAATATGGTTGTTCATCATCATTTTTTTCTCCTCCGGGTCCTCTGTCAACCAGCGGTCAGGGTTGTACTCAGAAGCATTCTTGAACACCAGCTCATCTCGAAGTATCGAGTAAGTGGGCACAGATACTGTGACTCCTTCAGGAATAAATTTGTTTGCAATGGCCCTCCTTTCGGAACAATTCGAGGCAGGCCAAAAGAACTCGGTGGACGCAATCGGAGGGCTTCTTCGATACAAGCTCGTAGATACGGCATTTTGGACACTACTTCGTAGGTGGGGATCTCGTTCTCAGAGTCGGCATTGATCTCGTCACGGAGTTTTTGAAGCACTCGGGGGTGCGTGTACAAAAGAAAAATCGTGCTTGTCATGGCGGCAGTGCTGGTTTCAGTTCCGGCATTCATCATGACCGAGCACTCAGCCATGATTTCGCCGAAAGACAAGTTGAGGTCCTGACCCTTACTATCCTGTAGCAAGCGTTGACATAGGTCATCTGAAGGCGCTGTATTTGCCAACCGCCTTTTTGTGTTGTAGTACACAATATTGTCCCAATCAGTGCCGGCCTTCTTGTACGGGTGGTTTTTCACAAAAAGGCGCGAGATGTGCGCATAGTGTGCAGTGATTGCAAGCACATTATTGATCACCGTGGAATCAAGCAAACTCTGAATAAATGGGACGCGGTATATCCGACCATCTTTCGACTCAGCCTCAAGAAGGTCGTCGTTACGTTCCAGACACCCAAGCTTGTGTCCGTAGAGAAGCTGACCGAATAGGTCGATCAGGAAATAATTAAGAAGTCGCCGCATGTTGGCCTTTGTGCCCGCTGCCTCATGGCGGTCCAAAACTTCCAACAACGCCGAGATGTTCTCTCGCAGCTGGGGCTCGAAGCCGACCACTGTCTTCGCCGCAAACGTGTGCGCGAACATCTTTCGTTTTGCCTGATGCTCGGCCTTGTCGCGCGCATCGGCAAGATTCCGGTGCGGTCCCGCACCTGCATCGTACCAGATATCCTTGAGCATATTGGCACCGTGACCGTAGATTTGATGGGGGGCCATCGGGTCGAGAATAGAGATGTGATTAGGGGCGATGCGTACGTGGGTTCCCAGTTGTTGATGAGCTTCGTGAACCGCCGCATAGTGATTCCATCGTAGATTATGATAAATTCGCCATAGGGAGCTGAAACCGGCTATCGAGGGTGTGGGATGCTGTCGGAGGCCTTTGGGGTCCCAGAAGTGATGAATCACTCGGAACAAAAGCAGAGCCAGGACAGTCAGAGCCAGGAAGTAGGGCACGAGAGAGAGAAGCATATTGAGAGGATGGGTTCAGATCGTCAGGAAGTTCTAACAATTTGGATTCTTGGACACTCAGAAGGGGAGGTCATCTGTCGGGCTTACGCTCCATTTATATTGACGATACATCCGGTCAATTGCCCGGACCTAAAAACCACAGACAACCATTCCTATCCAGTACCGTCGTGATGAATAGAAGGCACCGCATTCCGCAGCCACCGTATACATTGTGATTCAGTAGAGGAGCCAATCAGCTTTGCGGGTTTAACTTTCCCAAATAGGCAATCCGCCCTCAGGCCGGAGTCGGGAACTTCCCCATGGGGTTTCTTGGCCCGATGTATATGGATAAAGATCATGACGTTAGTCCATTCAAGGTTTCAAGATTCAATTTGAGCTGAGGGTGACCTTCGGGAACGTAAAGTAAATTTTTACAAATCATCATAAAAATAGACAATTACATGTACAAATGTGTATGAAATATTAGCTCGGTGACTGCATAAGTCCATCTCGACCTACGTAGTCTCCACCCCTCCCCCGCAGTTTTTGTAAAACTGTAGTCATAGTCATACCCATGTGATTGCGGTGGGATCTGTCCCTTTTCAATTCAATCCTTACACCTCACCCCTCTCACCTATCTTCTGTAGCCCTAGCTTGTAGGGGAGACCAGTTATTCTCTATGGCCAACCTCACATTCGTGACGCCTCAAGGTCCCCACCACAAGGCACGTCGCTTCCGCTCGCGGAAAGCCTGCGATGATTGTCGGCACAAAAAGGTAGGTGCAGTCAGTTCCGAGCTCCGGTCGGTCGGCTGACCAGCATGTTCCAAGAGACGATGTCAACATCAACCACCAGGGTCCGTGAGTCGATCCCTGAATCCTCAGAAGCTCGTGTGGGTGGACACCAATTTGATACCGGAGTCGAATGGTAGCGCGGATGTCATCTCAAGGCGGACAGGCCATAGAGAGTTATCCAGGTCGTTGAGCCGTCAGCCGAGCGAGGGCAAGCAGGAAAATATCCAACTTCAAGGAGAAACACTCGAAAATCAACCACAAGAACAGGAACGAGACGAAGAGCAGTCGAAGCTGCAGGAACTCAGACCCGACGCCAGTGGCAGTCCACCCACACCGCGTTTTGTGGGAGACTTGAATCCAGAGGCTCGACTGCTTGATGAACACCATTCCCCGGAAGATGTGCAGGAGACAAATCCTAGAAAAGTCGGGGTTTGGATCCAGCCAGGACCAAACAACAAATGTGGCAATACTGATAATACGGGCTTTGCGCCAACACAATACTCTTCTCCGAAGAGAGGGCTAGGTCGCTTGCAGTACCCCATTTCAGACCTCCTGTCTGACAATACTATCAAAGTACTGTCGGGCTTTTACTTTGCCAACATACATCCGATCATCCCACTTCTCGATGAAGAAGAGTACTGGCAGTCGCTTTCCCGGGGCACAATTCCTATGCCATTAGTGCACGTTGTGTGTCTTTTGGCTGCCAAAGACAATGGTGCCGAGAAACATTTGAAGCTTCTTCAGTGTAGAGACACTCTCGTACCAGTGCGGAAATTCTGCAACCAATTGTATGTCTCTCTCTCGACACTGTCTCGACATACCATGAAGAAAACAACCATGATGCGAGTCCTCGGTCTGCTCTCCCTGCACCAGGAAGGGAGCGATGGAGTAGAGGAGGCCTCCGGCTGCATCGCTCAGGCCATACACTACGCCCAGTCACTGGCACTGCACTTGCCGCGTCCCAACGATGGGGATGGTGACTTGAAGAGAACCTTTTGGTGCCTTTGGACTCTAGATCGACTGAATGCCGCAACCAACTCGAGACCGTGCGTGATGGCAGACATGGACATCGCAGTCTCTGAATTGACACCTCAAGAGTCTGGATTTGCTGCATTCAACGTCTTGTTTCGAATCGCCCAAATGCTTAACAAGGTCATCGGGCTCTACCGGCCCAAACTCGAAGAAGCTTACTCTGGGTGGGACTCGGATTTTCCGGGGTTTGAGCACATTATGAACGAAATGGACGCATGGAGCCTTGATCCCTCCACCATCGGTTCGTGACCAAATCTCTGCACCATCCAAATCCTCCTAAATATGATTTTGTTTACAGTTTGACTAATATCATCTTCCATTTAAGCTACCTTGCACCTATTTTTTCTCGCCACCTCGATCCTCGCGCACCGCCTGAAAACCATCACAACACTGCCCTCGCCCACCCCAGCAAGGTTGAGACAGCAGCTTTCCGCAATCCAGGTCATTCGTTACATGCAAGACCCGATCCGACGGGACGCATTGCATCCGTTCCCGATTGTTGTTTATGCAACGTCTCTCGCTTTGTCTGTTTCTTACCAGCAACTACGGTACAGTCGCATATTTAGCGACCAGGAGGATGCTCGCCAGGATTTCAACACGGGGTGTGAGGTCTTGCAAGAATTGCGCCGAAAATGGGGTTCTGCCGATGCGATGGCAGCCTTGGCAAATAGAATCTCTGGCGCAGTTGATCAGCTACCATGCCTTGATATACTTCGGGTACACCGATCCGATCGGAAAAAGAGTGATAGCAACCTGGCCGAAAACCTTGCATCGATGGTCGATCAACAGCCTCCGGATTTGTCAACGGATGATTGCTCGGCAGATTCTCAGACAGCCATGTCTTGTCTGGAAACAATGAACCTATTTGCAGGCATGGATGATGTGTCTTGGATGTATTTGGACGCCGAAAATCCGGTCAGCTTCGATAGCTTTCCCGCGGAATTCGACGAGTCGTACAGTGTCTGGTAGAGCTCGGCAAGGTCTGTGTCTGAACGTGTACGCTAGGTTATAAATGTATCAAGATTGTTTCTTGCGGGAAAATTTAGGAGAGTGTAGATGTGCAGACCGTGTAAACGAAGGAAATTATCTAGCGCCTCCGGGGCTGCCCGTCGAGGCACCTGTGAAGACGAATCGGAAATTGCACTCACCGGCAGAGTTTCCATGTAGGGTTATCTCCGCGCCACTATTTTTGGGCAATAAACCCTTTCTGGATCGTATAGTCCGTCTTCCGCCGCACGGCGTATTCCTTTTTAGTATGTAGGTTATGTCAGAAATGTTGCCGGATACTCAGTTGTTGTACACGACGTCGTTTGTTCTCATGCCATCATTTAGATGCTCTGATTGTACATCATTTTGCATTATCTTGATCAAGGTATTGGTCAAGGTTTTGCTTATCGCACAGAAGGTGCTGCTGGTTAGACTACACAGCCGTGTTTAACTGTACCCCCGGAAACCCCAACCAGGCTTAGCGTTGAAACCGACCCCATTTTGCGGCTCGACTGTACGTCACGTGTTACGACATAGCCCTAGGTATACCCTGCCGCATGTCACCTTGGCCGAGATGGGCACTAACTTGGCCTTGCATTTTGTACCAAAATTACAGACCCACGCGGTAATTTATTTATGATAGGCCGGTATTAGCGGGCTTATGTACAACGATCGGTAGTTCTCCCAACAAAGCCATCCATATGAATAGACGGATCAAAGTAAGGACCTTATAAATAGTGCTGCATTGCTTATTTTACATCGGGATATAAAATAGAGAGCCTGTCCCCTCCGTTGGGAGGTCTCTATGTCACTCGTTCTCCCCGGGCAACGGATAGCTGTTACCTTCAAAGAGCTTGCTAGCAGACTGTAACAACTCAGCAGTTTCATTCCCAAGCCACTGTGGAAGAAGCAATTCTCTGCTGCCTTCTACTTCCACGAACTTTCCTCCAGCGATCTGCGTAAGCATTAGCATTCAAGACTTAGGAGGAAAAAGTGTCAGAGTCAGACACAGTACCATGTAGCATTTTCCAGTCTCATCTCGCGTGCAGGCAAGAGAAATCGCCATTGAGACGCACTCCAGTGTGTTTGATTTGAGACCTGAGTGTTTCCACTTCTCAGCTAATGCTTTGAATGTAGGGGTAGGCGTGAAGAACGGAGCGACGGCATTGATTCTGATCCCTAGCTCTCGACCAACTTGTTGTGCTGCTCGAAGAAGACCAGTGATCCCATGTTTTGATGCAATATACGCTCCCACCCCAGTTGATCCAAAATATCCAGATGTCGACGTTACCAGAACTACAGATCCTCTCAGCCCACTGGAAGACGTGACTTGGTTATGCTGCATGTAGTGTAGTGCAAGTCGCAAAGCTTCAAGAAAGGGACGCCACATATTAGTCACAGAAAAGAGGACTTGCAACTCTAAAATGAGTATGGAAAATACATACTGTTAATCGTTCCTTTGAGATTGACATCTATTACACGAAATCCCTCTGTCGACTCGCGCAGTTCCCCATGCTCGTCAACATTGCCAATATCAAAAAGCTTATGGCTCTCCATTATCCCGGCATTGGCCACAACAATGTCGACTTTGCCGAATTGTTGGATGCATTGAGCAAAAAGAAGTTTCATTTCTGTCCAAATAAGGATGTTGACACCCACAAATGACGCAGATTCAGGGTGTTGTAATGATTGAATCAATGTTTCAGCATCAGAACGAGTGCGTTCCAGGTCGGCAACCAAGGTATTTGCTCCCCATGAGTTGAGCAAACGTACAGTCTCTGCCCCTATGCCATTTGCTCCTCCTGTCACAATAGCAGTCTTTCCCGACAGACTTCTCAGTGCGAAGAAGTCGGCATCCTTGATGCTATCCATCATGTGCTTTCGCGTAGGTATATCTTTCAGGGACACTTTTCGATGAGGTATCAAGATAGTTTAATTTATATCGCATTGGCAGCCTCCGAAGACGGATACGCAAGAAGATTCAATGCTACATCCGATGCATGTCGGTGTTTTCTCCTCGACATATTCTCGGCTTATTCGGACAGGCCAAGCGGAGATTTACCAATTAACTCGCCCAACATGCGTTTCGACGGGGATACTGATTCGGCGTCAATCTCCAGCGCACAAATCAGTCGAAAGCAGCCGGGTGCTTAGCAAGGTGTTAATTCCTTTCAAGATAGAGACCAGTACCTCTCCAATAAAATTAAGGAAATGGGTGGGTCTCGCGAATAAGAAAAAGCCCCATTCTGTCTAAAAGCTTTGTCACCATGAGCTGGCATTGTTATATATATTTGAAGGAATCATAATTTAATGATTTTACTTGAAGATGAAGGAAGAACACTATCGATAAAACAAACTTGGGTTTTATTTCCGTGATATATATCTATATAGATCAATCCTGAAGAACACGATCACTATCCTTATCAACAAGAAGTAGCAACGATATTTATAAGAGATGCTAGCTCAGATGGGGCACTAGTATTGGGGAAATGTCCAGAATTGCAAAGGAGTGTGGTCACTTGTCGGCCGCTCTTCATGGCAATCATGTCAATGACGGATCTCTGAAGTGCGGGGGGTACAGAAATATCGTCTTCGCAAATTATGTAAGAGACTGGGATATTCATGTATCCTGCATTTTGGAGTGGCTCGGCAAAGCTCGTCGCTGAATGCGCCTTCATGTGGTTTGCATATTGGATGGATTGGGCGTACGGCAGGTCCGAGAAATTGACGCTTGCGCAGCCGTCAGGCTCAGAAGTCAAGTAATCTCCCTGTGTAAAGTATTTATTATTGACAATTCCGATCCTTATTTTGCCTGTTCTTACCTCGAGTTTTATGAAATGAGGCATTTTCTCGCCCATCATTGTCACGATAGATCCACCGATTTCAGGTACTGGAGAGCTGATGTAGACGAGATGAACAATACCCCCAGTTTTCCCCAAGGCTTGCCGCTCGGCCTTTGAAACCCCAGCCGTGCTTTCGGTACCACACACCCCACCGTAGGAATGCATCAATAAGATGATCTCATGGCCGTAGTCTGCTAGCTTCGTCGTCACCATCTTGATATGCTCCGCATCCTCCATCATTGATGCAGCTGGCAATGGATCACGATTTCCAACAGATGGAAGGTCAACAGTGGTTGCACTCAGGCCATATTCTGAGAGGTGCTGCACAAAATCCGAGTACAGCGATGGTGGGGCAAAGGAAGCCGGAACAATAACAACGTGAGCCTTTTGCTTTTGCATTATGATGGCTTCTGATCAACAGATGACTCACTTGTAATGTCGGCCTCGAGGCTACTTAAACAGGGAGAGTGTCGAGGAAAATTGTTTCCATCTCCAATATCGGAGTTTTGGTCATGATAAATTTACCGAGAGAATAGGCCGAGGTGAAAACCAAGGCCGAATAGACCGGGGTCATCGGGTGTTACCCCGGATCTTCCTTAGGTCCGTCGGAAGTGCTTAGCAGGGACCCCAGGTGTGTATCCGAAAGAAAAGAGCGACATTCACTATTACTCTTTCCAAGTTACAGCACCTAGTGCCGAAAAAGCCTCTGTTGCTATCCCTGATCAGATGTCTGTGGGTCTTTTCAGTTGAGCAAGAGTCCGAATAGAGGCTATATAAAGGTTCTGAGAATCTTCACCAGTTTTGCATAGACTTTCTCAACATCAAGACAGCCTTTCTTTCCCAAAGAACACCATCATATATTTTAAATCATGTCCAAGCACATTGCCATCATAGGAGCAGGGCCATCGGGTCTGACCCTTGCAGCTCTGTTGCAACATCATTCGATTCCCTTTACCATCTATGAGCGAGAGAAATCCACCAGTTCTCGCTTTCAAGGAGGATCTCTGGACCTTCATCCAGAGTCTGGTCAACAGGCTTTGTTCGAAGCTGGGCTCCGGGAGCAGTTCAACAAGTACGCCCGATATCACGACCAGGACTACCGCTTTGGCGACAAAAATGCTGTCACGTGGTTGTATCATCAAGCACCGGCTGACGCAGATGGGCGTCCCGAAATTGACCGTGCAATGCTTCGCAAGATACTCATCGAGTCCCTCGATCTAGCGAACATCAAATGGGACCACCGCGTCTCAGACGTATCCCCACAGGAAGATGGCCGCGTGAAAATATCTTTCGGCGACCAGCACAACCCAGTGGTAACTGATCTGCTTGTTGGTGCGGATGGAACTTGGTCCAAGGTTCGGCCACTCCTCACCAGCTGGAAGCCCGAGTATACTGGCCTCACTGTTATCGACTGCCGCATCTCTGACCTGGATAAAAGATTTCCAGAGCTTGGAGAGTTCATCGGCCGCGGTACCTATTTCTGCCTTTCCGAAGGTAGTGGGATCTTTATGCAGCGGAATGGAGATGGGAGCGTGCGTGTCTACCCTTGCCTGCGAGTCGAAGAGAACTGGGCCTCAAAAGATGCCTCTTTCGACTGGAGTGACCAGAAAAAGATGACTGAGTATCTGATTGATACCTTCTTTTCAACCTGGGATCCTCGCCTCCAGGATGTCATCCGCAATGTTGACGCAAGCATGACTCCACGTGCCCAGTATCGCATGCCCCTAGGGCTGCGTTACAACCACTGCCAAGGCTTGACAATGATCGGTGATTCTTTGCATGTTATGTCGTGGTTTGCTGGAGAAGGTGCAAATTTGGCAATGCTGGACGCCTTGGATCTTTTCCACGAAATCTACGCTCATCCCAAGGACTTGGATTTGGCAGTGCGTCGCTATGAGACTAAAGTGGTAGATTGTGGACGGGCCGATGCGACTAACGAAATGTCACAAGACCTACTTGTCAAGGCTATGTCAGACGACTCTCCTCGAGCGTATGTTGAAGGGATGGCCAAGGCAATGGATGTTTGGTTCGCGGACGGGAAGTTGCTGGACAGTATGGATCGAGACGTATTGTATAGTAACTAATCTTCCCTAGACCTCGGGAAGAATATTAGCTTATTCATCTTGGTACCAACCGTATTGAAATCTCCGTGTCGAATCTCGCGACCGTCTATCCTTGATCGCGCTTCTATGTCCGTTCCACTAGATAAATGCTGTGTTTAAAACCCAATTAAAGACAAAGATTTTCAGCGGGTAGATTATTTTTTCAACTTCTTTTACTCAATCGGAAAGCATAAGCATAATATATGCTTCTGTTTAGCATTTACACTTTAGGGTAGAGCTCCGTGAAGCCCACAAAGCCCACAAAGCCCATAGCCCAACCCAACCCAACCCGCAAATGGGCTGGGCTTTGGGCCCGGGTAAGGCCCAGTTAGCACCAAACAATACAAACATTCCAAAAAAAGTGACTTTTTGAATTACCCCATGTTTAGATCCCGTTTTTAGCCCTTATGTTAGGGTTATATTTGAATATTTTAGTAATTCCAAGTTCATTATTAGTTCAATTCATATATTACATTTGAAAACGCGAGAAAACGCGTGATTTAGACAAGTTTTGAATTACAGAGGCTCACTTAGAAAGTAGTATATACATCCTAAATATATATCTAACATCGAAGTTAACCTCCACTTATGTGCTTGCTTAGCTATTATTACTGTATATTCCAGCTTTAAACTCTATACAATTAGTACAAGGATAGAATACAAGACGCCGGTTTATAAGCGCCAAGACCCTATTAATGGGCTTTATAGAGCGCTACTCCCGGGCAAGGTGTTTATGACGGGACGGTATTTGGATGGTTGCCGTCGTGACATTGCCTGTCGGCTTATTGATATTTTGTGATATCCCAGATAAGGAGCTTGAATTGTTAGCGCCGACAGTATTATGTATTCTTCATTGTCAGAGATACGAACAGGAGACAAGACATTCTAGCATTGATCTATACAGCGAGATCATATTAGAGATGTGAATAAGGTTATTGTTGCTATATCAAAAAGTACAGCCAAACGACCAAAGCCGCACAGCTTGTCCCTGATATTTCAATAACTCTTTGCAGTCAGAATTTTTGCTAATTGGATAATTTTGAAGTAACCGAAATAACTGAGCCTTCTTTGGAATGGGTGGGAGTTTTACATATGTTTTGTCAGGATATGAGTCTCTAGACTGAGCCGTCCTCATTACCTAGACACCGGTACTCCCAAAGCCGACGCATCGGATAAGCATCAATGAATTCAATAATTTATAATATGCACTATGTTTGCATTTCAGAAGGCCTCCAATTGGCCAAAATTTGCTGCAAGCCACCTGCAGCAGCTTCCATCGGTCTAAATTGCCGAGCCCGAAATTGCCGAGCCGAAATTGCCGACGTCACCATACCCGGCAAAAAGGATCCTGCTCGGTGATTTCTCATATTAATTCCCCAATATCAGCAACAATCTCAAGCTGAAAGATGGACCGTTTACCAATCAACTCACAGCGTGTGGTGAAACTAAGCGCCAAGAAGCGGCGTCCCCCATTAGCCTGTATCCAGTGCTATCAGCGTAAGCTCAAATGTGGCAGAGAGTTTCCATCATGCAGCCGCTGCTCGAAGACAGGAAACGCCGACAGGTGCACCTACCGTACCAATCCAGCAATATCTTCTTCGGTGGATGGAATGCGCAGCGAGGACCATTCTGGGAGCGCTAGTGCCATGGCAACGTCCTCGCGTACACCCATCCCGTTGTCAGAGACTCCGGAAAGACATCGGGCCCCTTCCGACCGAAATGGGAAAATGACCCACTTGAGAGGACAAGAGGCCATCACCAGGTTCTATGGGTATAGCTATCCTCTGAACTTTTACCAACAGGTACGCCATACCATCTCATCTACTAGATATGCAGCATCATCTCAACAGTGATAGTTTACCGAGCTTCCATCCTACATCATCGAAATCAAAACCAAAAATCCAGCAATTAACACACTTCGTGACGAAATTTATCCTCTGGCCAATGATGAATATCGGCTTCGTCCGTTGGCACATGACACGGTGCTCGGAGACACGTTGAGACAACTGATTCCCACAAAGCCGGTCGCAGACACATTGGTCCAGACTTATATTGACAGATTTGAGATCATACACCGAGTGCTCAATATATCGGCTTTCATAGCTGATTACAATCGCCACTGGGCCAGTCCACTTTCCACGCCCGCTTCCTTTTTGGTGCAATTCCTTTTGGTAGCAGCAACCGCTGCGAGTTTTCACCCCGAAATATGCATCAACGTTATGAGCCAACAAACCGTCCATGGCCATGCACTTGATTGGATTGAGGCTGCGGAGTCGTGGCTCAATTCCTCGACTAATCAGCCTCCTCAATCCTGGGATACCTTAGCGACTCATTGTCTCTTGCTCATTGCGAAGCGTGCAAACCATATTCAAGAGAGCTCCTTCTGGACATACACTGGGGCACTGGTGCGGTGGGCTATGGCAGCAGGATATCACCGTGAATCTGGCTCGACCGCGAGAATATCACCCTACTTCCGGGAGATGCGTCGACGTCTATGGATGACGATCGTGGAACTCGATCTTCAGGCCTCGGTGGAACGGGGTATGCCCCCAAGCGTCGGAAGAGAAGATTTTAACATAATATCACCGCTGAATATCGACGATTCCAAGCTACAGGAGTCGGGCCAAGATCCCCTGAAAGGTATGCCGCTCGCTACATTGACAGACACGTCTTTCCAGGCGCTTCTGTACCGTTCTTTGCCTGTAAGATTGAGAATATGTGCGTTTGTCAATGGATGTTGCGAAGAAGATGATTTTGACCAGGTCTTGCACCTTGGAGAGGAGCTAGAAGAAGCACTCCAGGATATTCCTGAATGGAACAACCCCCAAGACAATCCGCGACAGCAGCAGACCACCATGTACGTGAAGAGATCACTGAGCATTTACCTGCACCAGTATACGCTCTTGTTGCATATTCGGTTTGCAATCCAAACTCCGCCTTCATTCAAATCTACCATCTGCCAACGTGCAAGGTTAGAGGCATCCTTGAAGATCCTTGACCATCATCAAAGGCTTATACATGATGAAAATGTACCGGAGCAAGCTTGCAGGACCGGATTGGTACTTGCTGCCCTGAATATCTGCCACGAAATTTACACAAACTTTGGACCTCATGGTAAGCAAAATCACAATCTCGCTTCTCCACTTCTATTGTTGTGCGCGCTAAAGAAGGATCCACAACTAATTACTGGAAAGCTCTAAATCAATCAGCTACTATGACAACATTTCCCCAAGTTTCAACATTTCTCTTGGCCAATATTGAGCAGGTACTACATATTTTGGAAAAGAGGGTCATCGCAACATTCCACGGTTTAAACGAATATTACATACTCAGCATGATAATTGGTTTACTCAAATCCAAGCTGTGGCCAGAGTCATGCGCAACATCCGACAAGGAGGCAGTAAATAGAGTGATCCAAATCTGTACGATACTGCAGACACAGTGGGCTGCCATTCAGCCAGATCATTCTCTACTAGGTCCAGTGCAAGTATTCCCACTGAAAAGCTCCATTCAACCCCGTATTGATTGGCTGTAGAAACAATAGAACTCTACGTGGGCTTAACTTGCTAGAGGATGCAAGCTCTATGATTCCCGACGGCGCAACTGAACTATTTAGTTCAATGGTATGTAATTGGTTTCTACGATTTCAATGTTGTGACATCCACTGACGGATACTGAGCAGTTTTCAGAGGATTTGGGTTTCATGAATGATGGTACAGATTTCGCCTTCTTTCATGAATAATTAGCCTTGCTGAAGTATGTCGCACCGAAAATCATGTTATCACCAATACCCCGTCACAATTCTAGGGTCTGTGCCGGTGAATAAAAAAAGATCTAACTAAGAATGCAGAACAAATTGAAAGCCACTTGAAGGGGGTCGAGATCGGATCACACAATTTTCAGGAGCTTTGCCTGTAGATGCAACCTCGCCCCAGCTACCAGAACGGATCCGAACAACATCACCACGCCGCTGAAAACTGCAGCCTGCGTGTAAGTTCCATATCTTTCCAACAAAGCACCGCATATCGGGGTCCCGGTCAGACCAGCAAGACCAATAATGGCCATTGACATGCCGAGATGGGTGCCGATCTGGTCCGGACTTGGGGTCACTTGAGCAATGCAAGGAGACATCAGTGACACGATCCCACCAGAAAAGAAACCATAGAGCACCGCAAAGACAATGATTGATGCATTCGAAGTTATCGCGATCCAGCACAAAAGTAGAATGCCTGTGCAGACACTGGTAATGATCAAGATGTTGAAGCGACCAATCTTATCCGCAACCATACCCGGTAATATTCTGCCAAAAACCGAGGCAGCATTGAGGATGGACAGAAGGTAAGAAGAAAGCTGCGAGCCCATGCCATGAGACTGGGCATATTGCGGAAGATAGAAAAATGGAGTGAAAAGTCCCCACATCATGAAGAAGATACCGAGCGTGACGAGCGTGTAAGGAGCGCGAGTGAAAGCTGCGGGCAAAAGAACCTTGCCATAACGAGGAGGAAGTCGCTCTTTAACCGTGACCATGGCTATCAATACCATGAACAAGATGATGAACCCCACAATTCGGACGGACCATCCGAATCCCAAAGATTCATTTCCCAGCATCTTGCTCAAGGCAATGGGAAAAACAACTCCCCCGATGGAAGATCCGGAGACTGTCACACCGAGAGCTGCAGCACGTCGATTATGAAAGTAGTGGCTCACACATGTCATAACAGGTGCGAATAGCATGCCAGAAGCAATCCCACCCAAGACCCCTTGGGCAAGCATGAATTGATAGTACTTTTTGCACAAAGATGTCATCATTACTGACAGCACAATGCCGATCGCTGGTACATGAATGATCTAAGAGAGTATATCATTAGTAAATGGCCATTGCCAACAGGAAGATATTTCAAGTCCTTACCGAAGCGCCATATCGGTCGAACAATGGCCCACCGACAAGGCTACCAGAGAAGAGAAAGCAGACCTGCACAGACCCAATCCAAGAAATATTGGATGCAGTTTCGTTGGAGAGAAAATGCTCGGTATAGTATTCCTGGTAGACTCTGTGTCATCCGTTAGGGTTCCGTATCAAAAACATATAATTGCGGAAGCACCCACCCAAAAGCGTTCATGTATCCGAAAGTTGAAAAAGAAACACAAAATGCCCCTAAAACGACCATCCAAGCTCGAGTACCACCCTCTGGGAATGCTGTGGATGGTTTTTCAACTTCGAGTCGATCTGATCCTTCTGAGCTATTAGGCGTCGCCCGGTCAATCGATACCTTTGGGGTAGACATTCTGAGAGTTGACTGAGGAAAGTATAGATCTCTCTCTAGTTGGCTTTTGGATTGAATGAGAAACGAGATCTAAATTTATATCTAAGTCTAATATATTTGGGTGGATCAATGTGCTCGGTCTTTTCGCAGAATTCTTCAATCCTCGACCGAAAAGGCCGAGCCTCACAAGGCCTAGAGCACCAGAGCACCGGCATATACCGTTGTGCTCTCCACTAGACGAATACGTGATTTCCGTTTTATTATCAGGGGCACCTTATTTAAGAGATTATATCATTGAATGTCCACATGTTACAGTCTTTGGCTGTCAACATCCTCGGTTTTACGAAATTTGCACCGGCTCCAAATGTAACAACTTTGATGGGAAAATGCAGTATGTACATAATTGGAATAGTAAAAGGTCTTAAAGTCTACAACACAGAAGGTGTAGACATCCCGTTATATTTAATTGGAAATATTGAAACACTCGATATTCTTCACCAAATCAATACATATATTGTCACTCAGGGGGTGAGGGGTGGTGATTTGAGATAGGCCTGCCCTGTGAAGTGCCCCCCCCCTTTACGCCTCATGATCTGACCGCCTTGACCAAACCTGGAGTAATTCCCCAATTGATTTCAACGTTCTCTAGTTTCTCCTTTCCCCCAGCCACAACCATGTTATCATGTCTCGCCCGACCGCGTCTGGGGCGTGTGACCACCTCCATCGCGCGGGCACATACCAAACGTTCCGTCTCAATGAAGAACCTTTCTTCAAATTCCAAAATTTACATTGCGACTGCCGGTTTGATCAGCATGCCCGGCCTGTGGTGGTTGACCGCTACGAGGGATGACGTGCCCCGCTTCGAGGGTCCACTAGCGGAGCACTTGGCCCCTGAGCCAGGTCCCTCTAAAGAGGATGTCACACATATCTTATCGAAACAAGCATACTCCTTCCAGGTCAAAAATGTTGCAGGCGTCAACAGATACGATGGTGCTCAATTAGCGTCCAATAGCCCGTGTGAGGACCGGTTTATTCATGGCAAATTTTCCTCGCCCTGGAATGAGAATGGTCAATGGATGTCCTGGGCCGTTTTTGATGGACATTCAGGCTGGCAGACAGCGGATCTGTTGACGAAACAGCTCCTGCCTTTTGTGCGACGCAGATTGATTGAAGCTAAACCACCCCCAAATGACGAACCAGTGCCAGATGAGTGGGTCCAGAGCGCTATCATGAAAGGATTCGTGGACCTTGACGACTCCATTATCCAGACTGCCCCAGACACATCTAAGAGCGAACAATCCTTCCAAGACAAGGTGAAGAAACTGGCTCCGGCTTTTGCTGGCTCATGCGCTTTGTTATCTCTATACGATCCCATCACAAGCACGCTGCATGTTGCGTGTACTGGTGACTCAAGAGCGGTGCTGGGACAAAAAGGATCGGACGGAAAGTGGGAAGCAATTCCATTGTCAGTAGATCAGACTGGCAGTAACGAAGAGGAGACCGCCCGCATTTCCAAGGAGCACCCTGGCGAGGAAAACATAGCCAAAGGTGGACGGGTGCTTGGACTCATGGTCTCACGAGCATTTGGCGACAGTCTGTGGAAGTGGCCTCTGGATTTCCAGAAGAAAATGAAGCGGAATTTCAATGGTCCAGCACCCCTAACGCCCCGGTACGATGTTCGCACACCCCCATACTTGACTGCCGAGCCGGTCGTGACAAGTACTAAGATCGATCCTAACAAACCCTCGTTCTTAATTATGGCGACGGATGGGCTATGGGATTATCTGTCCAGTGAGCAGGGTGTCGAGTTGGTAGGGAAGTGGTTGGAACCACAAGGGACCGAGAAGAAGAAGAACAAACTCGAGCCAAAAGATGGAGAATTTGACTTTGGCAGATTCTGGAAAGATGTGAACTGGAAGTTTGAGGAAGAGAGAACAACAACACAAGATGATAATGCTGCAGTACATCTGATGCGCAACTCGCTTGGTGGAAATTACCACGAGTTGATAGCAGGTCGGCTTGCGTTTGGCCCTCCATTCTCTCGACGCATACGGGACGATATCACTGTGCAGGTTGTTTTCTTTAATACCAAGAAGTGAATATTAGGTCCTTGGTTGATCTGAACGTGGAAGTTTATTTATAAAATTTGTACTCCTTAGCTCCGAACCCTTTTGGGTAACGGAGACTAAAGATGATCATGACTACCACTAGTACTGATGTATTACACATTTTCTAATTATTTTCATCCCAGTTCTAAACAACATCTGTTAAGAATATATCCTACTCGCCTAATTATGCCGACACTACAGAGTAATGGAGGCGCTGCTTTGGGCATTCGTTCAAATGATTCCTTTGATGATGAGGATATATGGTTGTTGGTATGCACCAGTGTTTTTTGGGTCCCTGTCGCGCTTGTTCTCCTTGTGGTCATATGTTGCCTTCTTATGGATCTTGGACTTCTCTGTTGGCATATTTGCAAGAAACTTGCTCGGTAAGTCATGAGATATGTTGATACCTTTTTCTATCGGCTCGAATCCCTCAGTTCCCATCAAAGAGTGATGCTAACCAAGATCTGACATACAGTTGTATCTGTTGGGTTGCTTTTCGAATGAACAGTTGGTTGATGAAGTTATTACGTTTGGCTTCTGTTCGAAAAGCAGCATCTCAAGTTACATCCAACGAACAGCAAACCACAACCGGTAAGACCCATCCAAACTAAGTATCTTGAAGTTATTAATAGTAATGGGTTTATTTAGAGTCCATAGAGATGGGATACATGAGATCTGATAGCTCAGAACCTCCGTCAGACTACGAACTGTACCGGCCTCTCGAGGAGCCCTTGCCGGTCTACAAACTGTCAGAGAACTGTGACTTGGTCTAGAAGGACGTAAAGGAATATGAATGCGCCTAGAACAATGATATATGGTTTGTATATTGCTTGACTTGGCTTTTCTATCTTGATGTTATATCGATGTCATACTACCGTGATGGCTCTATGGATGTGAAAACTCTATGTTGACTTTGTTTTTTTGGCAATTAGAAACCCTAGCAAATCCTCAAAAATATGGGCGATGAAATGATATGGCATTAGGTTTTTTTTTTTCATGTCCGCCTACAGTAGCTCCGATACTAGGCAGATCCAGCTGGCTTGTCACGAACAGAGATTGCGGGGAGGGGCGTAAATAGCACGTGAAGAGATTAGAGATTCGATTTTGTTGTCCAGCTCCTTAAGCTGGTTTCTGAGGAGTGACAACTGGTCTTTTGCCTCTTCCATTTCAAGAAGGTTTTTCTTTTCCGACGTTGCGGACTTTACGCAATCCAACAAGCCCAACCACCAGACTAGTCATATTCATTGCAAAAAGAAACCAGAACGCTGCACGGTATCCCGTCATTAAAGATTCCGGACTGTGATGGTCCTCTGCTGAAGAAGCTTTTTCGGTGATGCTATTAGAAATCAGGGCAACCAGAGCCAAACCAATGGTCCTGCCGATTTGTGAGACGGTATTGAACACCCCGGATGCTAGACCCTGTGTCTCAACGGGGAACATGCCCGCGATAATGAGGTTTGATACAGTGAAAAGGACGTCTGCAGCAACAGGGTTCAAGCACATGGCGAAGAACACACAACGCCAGTACGTCCACGCTGGATTCACCAGCGCCATGAGAAGTGGAGAAAGAGACGAGATGACCGTAGCTATGCTGATAATAATATCAGCCTGGACACGATGTAAGATCATGCCTGTGATGACGCTGACCCCAAAGCCAACAACCGAAACGGGGATAAATCGCAATGAAGTATTGAGCACAGATAGTTCCTGTACATCTTGGAAAAAGAAGTTGACGACTTGCTCAAAAGCGTTGAAGGAGCCCCAAATCATGAAGACTACAACACAGATACATGTAAAGGCGGCCTGCTTCCACAACGAATTCTTGATCAAGGTAGGCTTAGAGAGGCGCTCCTGTCGGCCTTCCCACAGGATGAAGCCAAGAAGTAGCACGCCAAAGAGACACAAGAGCACAATGGTGACTGTTTCATGGATATTGGACACATCATTGGTTATGATTCTATCAGGAGAGTATCCTAGTCAGCAACTTCCTTGGTATGTGTTTTGGTTATTGTAGACTCAACATACGCTAGAGCATAGGATAGCAGAGCCAACGCAGGGCTTATAAGGAAAGCTCCTATCCAGTCAATGCCAAAGGCAACTCGAGTCCACAAATCGCCTGTTTGGCCTTTCTTATTTCTAGGCAGTTGCCACAACGACAGGAGAAAGGCTGGACAGGTGGCAATGGCCGCGCTGTGAAACCCCCAGCGCCAGCCAACAGTGTCGGCGAAAATACCACCGAAAATGAGTCCGACTCCAAAACCAATTGGCTGACCAGATCCCATCAGCGCCAGAGCGACATTTCTGAGCTTCCCGGTCGGAAAGTGCTCTGTGATGATACTCATTGCAGATGGCAAGCAGAATGATGCTGCCACGCCAGAGATAGCTCGGTAGATAATGAGCTCAGTACCCGATCGCGCAAGACCACAGGCCATGGAGAAGATGCCGAGGAGGAAGCACCCCACTAAAAAGAGGATTCGATTACCCAATGTGTCCGATAAGGCGCCAGAAATGAGAAGCGTGCATCCGGTGGCTAGGGTGAACATCTGGACTGGCCTGAGAGATCCGATATATGTTAGTTGGCTCAGTTCCTGTAGTACCTTTCATGGATTCATGATTTTTTTCTTCTTAGAACGTTGACGGTACAACTCAGCTTTGAGATCACATACCATAATTCCATTCCAGGGCTCAAGTGCAAATCGGCTGAGATTTGCGGAACAGACACAGTGGCAAGACCACCAAGGTAGGAGCTGAAGAAGGTGATGCAAGATATGCAAAAAATCACCATAGGGGCGTTCTTCGGTCCCTTTCTCTCATTACTATATGGGTGAGCATCATCCTCCTGGGCTGTCTCCTCCAAGCGAGGCTGAGATTCACTCCGATCGTCCGTTTTTGGTTCGCGTAAAGTTCCATTTGCTACCGACGTGGCCGACATAACATGTACTGTAATGAAATGCCTTGCAAGAGGCCGAATGGCGAGTGATATGGTCAGCAGGAAGGGAAGAAGAAGTTGAAAAACGAGAGCAAGAATATTAAAAAGCCGTGCAAGCTACTTCGTACGAAGGGCTCCGAAGGACTTCTACAGCTCCACAGCGATTGACACACTGTCAGCTGCCCAGACTGACAAGAATTCTCATACGGAAAGGCGGTATTAGAATCCTTGCTTATCCCGATAGGCCTCGAGGGGTTTTCGGCGCAAGTTGCTTTAACAAGTTGATTTGGCCGAAAGAGGACCCTTGGCAACCCCGTGACCCCGTAACCCCGTACCCCGTCACTTTTGTAGATCCTTGCGGCGTAAATTGCCTTACCCGGCTCAGTGCGTTATGCTCAAATGTGTATTAGGCCTTATCGGTCTATGCCGAGGTGGTCTCCAACTGCGTTCCGGCCTCTCTTTAGGAAGCCTATCTGGATCCCCGGATCCCCGACGGCCCTAGGTCAATCACCGTACGGACAGTAACTGCAGTCTCCCCCTTTTTGCTCGTGTCATTGTATTTCGCCCCCCGGGTTTTGCTTCGTTTTGTGAATTTTATTGAAAAAAATAAGATGACAATACGGTATGAAACACTTCGGTAAGCCAAAGTCCCCATAAGTTGATCTTGTGAATACAATCCGAATACAATCATCGAAGAAATACAACCCTGTAGTATCCCGATGTTGTATTTCTAGATCAGGCTGACTCATTTATCTAGCAACACGATCTATAAACACTACCATCTTGGAAGCTCCTTATAATAATCCGGAAAAAAGAAGAAGAAAAAAACAATAATTCTGAAGCACTTACAGGATGTGGATTTCCGCACAAGAAATTTCTCAACATTGTACGCGTGATGATTGCTGGGTTGTGATCAATGACCATGTGTGGGATCTAACTACATTTGCCCCCGAACATCCAGGGGGCTTTTCCTGTAAGTCGCATATAAAAGACCGAAAAGCTGGAAGGAAGCCAGCCGCCCCGCCAAATTTACGGATATGCCATACTGATGAGCGATTCTGCACAGCTATCTACTGCTTCGCGGGTCACGACGCGACCGAAGCCTACAATGAAGTCCATAGTACTGATGTCATCACGAAGGCCCTTGATCCAAACAAGCTCATCGGCAAAATAGATCGATCGTCCATAGATTCGAACTGGACCAGCAGGTATATCCAGCAAGCCGAAAAGCAAGCGGAAGCGAAACCTCCCCTTGGTACCATTCTAAATGCCCACGACTTTGAACGTGTAGCACAAGACACATTATCCAAGAAAGCGTGGGCGTTTTACTCATCCGCCGCAACGGATTTGGTCTCTGTCAATGCGAACAGATTGTTTTATAATCGCATTTGGTTTCGACCTCGGCTCTTACGAGATGTGAAGTCGGTGAGCACAAAATGCATCATCCAAGGGGTTGAGAGCGCGTTACCCGTGGTTGTTGCCCCAGTGGCCCTGGCGCGACTCGCGAATCCGATTGGGGAGAAGGGAATCGCAATGGCGGCCGCGGGGAAAGGCATTATTCATTGTGTACGTACACAGCTGTTTCGTTTCATGATTTGTTTTTGTACTGATCTGGGAGACGGAACTGCTCTTATAGGTACCTATCACGGCGTCATTCTCCGTCGACGAAATTGTATCAGGTATTCCCTCACCCACGACGACCTTCTTCTTCCAGTTATATGTCAACAAAGATCATGCACAATCCGAGTCACTTCTGCGCCAAGTGTGGGAACTCGGAATCCGCACTTTGTTTGTGACAGTCGACGCGCCCGTCCCTGGTAAACGGGAGGCGGATGAGCGCATAAGAAGCGAGGAGGTTATATCGATGCCAATGACGGGGACCAAGTCACATGAAGATGGTACTGGGAGCGGCCTGACACGAACTACCGGTTCCTTCATTGATAGTACATTTTGCTGGAGAGATCTGGTGTGGCTGAAGCAGCATTGGCCTGGCAAGATGGTGCTTAAAGGTATTCAGTCCGTGGAAGACGCACAGATGGCAGTGCAAGCGGGAATGGATGGAATTGTTCTCAGGTGAGTTTTCGTTGGGGATAACAAATGCAAGGTGTCCCAACCGAGCTAATCCACGTCTTTGTCTAGCAATCATGGTGGAAGAAATCTCGATACATCTCCGCCCGCACTGTTATCCCTACTCGAGCTACAGCGCCATTTGCCTTCGATTTTCGGTCGAACAGAAGTTTACGTTGATGGCGGAATTCGGCGAGGGACAGATATTCTGAAAGCGATTTGCTTGGGAGCAAAAGCAGTTCTGATTGGACGACCGTTTTTGTACGCCCTCAACTACGGACAAGAGGGCGTAAAGCACCTAATTGATAGTGAGTTCCAAGCTTGTATTACCTTCACTGACAACTATTCAGTAACTAAATTGATTTTCCCGTAGTTTTGGAATTGGAACTGCAGACCGCGATGAGATTGGTAGGAATCACCGACCTCTCACAGGCACACCCTGGCCTCGTCAACACGCAGGACCTTGATAACCTGATTGTACGTGAGATGGCAAGCTCTGACTATTCGTGGCAAGGACGCCATGCAAAGATTTGAGTAAATTATAGTGCGGCGGCTCAGCATTCCAAACAGGCTAAGATGGATAAACATCGAATATCAGAGCGTGCAATTCGCAAATGAATAGGAGTCTACTTGTAACGATTTATTACAATCAACAACAGGTCATTTGATTTGGATATGAAAAATATCCTCGGGAGGGAAATAGCTTTGCTACACGTTAAGAGAATACAGTTTTTGTTAAGCATGGAGAATGAATTGAATCTCGTGCGAGATCGAAAATCACTTTTAGAATCCAAGGTCATTAAGCAAAGGGGCCTTTAGAGTCTCGCTAATGCAGAAGTACTCTTTTCCTCGAGGACAATTGGCGCAAAATACCCATTCAAGGCCTCGGCAGTCTTCCTTCCATCGACAAGATCCACAATGAGAGCGACGTACCCGTCTGGGCGAACAACGACAACGCCGCCCTTTTCTACATCAAATCCCATCTTGATGTGTGCAGCTCCCCGTTCTCCGTTCTGCGTCGTATCCCGTCCCCGATGATCATCGGCATAGATGTGGTATTTGTAGCAGGCCAAAAAGTCAGGCAAACACTCGTGTATCTCAACTGATGACCGTTGTGCGCTGAAGATGACAGAAAAAGTAAAGAAGTCTGAGTGAGGGTTATGTCTTTTTTCGTATGAAAGGTCGACATCATTTCGTTGATATCTGCGGAACACGGATTCCTCCGCGTGCAGGTGATCCGTGAGATGAAGAATCGCCTGCGAAGTGGTCGCTGAGTTGCCGGCAAATATGTAGATACGGTAGCTACCGTTGAAAGGAATCTCTTGTTCCAGATAGGCAACATGAGCATCCACAACCCTCGTCACAGTTACCGTGGGGAAGCTGTGTCCCGTACGAAGTGAACCAGGAGTGTGACTCGAGGCCCAAATTAAAGGACTAGGAGGATACGAAACGCCATAGCCACTGGTCAACAAGGAATTCTCCTTGAAAACCTGAATGAATTCCGAGTTCTGTCCTCCTATATTGGAAGACTGACGGGAGCTAAATAAGTTGGCATATTTGGCATCAAATTCGATCAGTCTAGCCGCCGCCAGCTTTCGTTCTTCTTCGTATGTCCCCAAGAGAGAGCGCTTCATGAATCCACTCTCTACAAGATGCAGCTTCCAGGCTAAGTTATGAGCATCCAAGAAGCCGTAATTCATTCCCTGGCCCGCTTTTGGCTAGTCGAAAGGTTAGTAAACACGCTATTTGCTGGTGAAGAATCTTTCGACTGTCGGCTACTTACACTGTGCGTATGACATGCGTCTCCTCCGATAAACACACGTTGATCAAGAGTATATCTCGATGCAATGGCCTGACCAATTCGGTATGCGGAATGCCATTCCACACTCTCCCATTCCACTTTGTACGGAGAGAGAATGACATTTGCCACCTGTTGGATTCTAGGAAGAGTAGCGAATTCCAAAGGCTGTTCCCCAGGCTTTGGGAAGATCTGGAGATAAATCCGAACTCGGTTGTTCCCGTGAGGAATTATCATTGCAGACCCTGCGGGTGAGTGGATGGTACACTTGATCTAATGCAAAATTATAACATTAGCTTGACATCTACCAACGAGGGGAATAAGGCATACCTGTATGTCCGGGAAGTCACTCTTCACCACACCATCAATGACACTCCACACATGAACTGTGGGATCTTTCGAAAGCATTGGAATATCGAGTATTTGCCTCATTACACTTCGTGGCCCATCTGCTCCAAATATGTATTTGGTTCTAAGCGTGGATCGCTTGCTTCCGTCCACACTCACTAGGTCAACTTCTAGTGGATAGGTGGAATCTCGATTGTCTTCTCTGAAGCCTGAAATGGTCCAGGGCCGCTGGACTTCCACCCCACGATTTTTCAAGTCATCCAAAAAGATCTTCTCAATTCTGCCTTGGTGGATGATCGTCGAGAATGGATATCGGGTATCAATGTAATCGGGATAGCTCTTTGAGTTCCCGGTGCGTTGAATCCCATTTTGATCAGAAGCATTCCAGAACGCAACCTCGTAGACACGACCTGGGTCATACGCCATGATTGACCTTTTGAGGCCCATGTTCTGCAGGACATCGAGAGTTCGCGCCTGAATACCACTTGCACGCCCAGTTGCTGTTGGCTCAGCACGGTTGTCGATATGTTTTATCTTGTAGGGCCCCAAGCGGGATAGACAGGCTGCAAACATCAAGCCTACAGGCCCGGCACCAACAATGACGATATCATAGGTTTCGGCCATGACTTCCTTCCTTCAGTTTGTGGATCTTCTTAGCAGAGCAGCTAGGAGGGCTTGGTCAACAAGAGTGAAGCGGGTGATGTATTGATAGCAGTAGTAGCAGTACTTGACCGACGGCCTTGCCTTAAATCGTGGAAATGCAGAGCTGATACTACACTGCAGGGTAGTCATTCTTTTCGGCTGATCTACATTAGTTCGAGCGGATGGGAAGTGGATGAATCCCTCAAAAGTACATTTATCTTACGTGTACTGCTAGAAGGCCTATTATGGGATACATCTCTAGATTAAACTAAGCATTCAGGGTCTACATTGCAGGATATCACAGGACAGAGACACACTTAGTTGTCAGCGGAGTATATCCAGAACACATGTGTTTCATTTTGCATCCTAAACCGTGCCTTTCTAGACACGTCTTCTTTTTCTTTCCTCTTTTTTTTTCTCTATTTCTTTTTTCTATTTCTTTTCTCCCAATTGAGCGTGTCATACCGGACTCCGGTCCAGTATACGAGATTCGTCAAGCACAAAAGGTGTAATGCATAGCTCGTGATTCTGATAATCACTCTTGATCTCTTCAAATTATTGCCTAGACGGCAAATCCGTATTCATGCAATGTAACATCGGATAACTATTTGGTCCATGTGGGGACCCTCTCTCCCCTGTATTCCTCATCACCACTTAGGCCTACCCACTTATTGCGGCAGGGACCCTGGTGTTCTGCAATATATATTCACGGCGACGATCATTTCTGTGATTATCCAACAAGTGGTACTGATAATTCGGTATATTACTCTAGTGTATAACAGGATGTTTTAAAACACATGTGAAAGTAGACCAATTTCGGCCCCAATTGGGGGCTATTTACTAGCACGGATCCTATGGAAGGAATAACGTAGGAACAATCTATGCGTTCTTCCTTCGAAACAAGAGCATAATCGCTGCAAATGTTAGAATGGGAGAATATGTAGAAATCATTGTGATCGAATTTGACTGATGTAATGAGTCGTATACCTACATATTTAGACAGCCGGAGAATATATAACGTAGTTCTATGATAAGGATAACCATAAACCTCGTATATCTATGGACCCTTGTACCCCCTGGCAACGCACTTAGAGCAATTCTGTAAATAGACAAAATAACCTTTTTTGAAAGGATCCTCACCTCAACTAAGCAGGACTCAGTATCATCAGCATGAAACATAATAAAATCAAAATTAAGGAAATGAATCAAACTAGAAAGTCCGTGTCAGATTGGCAATCCCCGCCAAGCCTCCTGGGGATAAGCCTCACTGTCACCCGTCAATGTCATAAACCGTCCCCCCGTAACGGTGCGTCCGCCGATCAGGCCTCCTAATTTTCACTAGTTTTCCAAGGCAGCATCCGTAACTCATTCAGCATGGTGCAGCCCTAGTTGCTAGAGACGGAGTACTCCGTATTGATCGTCTGTTTAAACAAGTAATACCCCTGGTCGTTGTTGGCCTTAACCTGCAGCCGGTCCACGTTCCGACCAGCCAGTTATTGACTGGACCCACTACGACTGCAGGCGATCCTCAGAGCGGTATAAACGGACTATATCTGACCCCGAAAACTCTGGGCAATGATGATAAGCGATGCTAGGATTAGTGACATATGTCACATAACTGCAGATCTGTGAAATAAAAAGTCACTTTTCATTGGCCATTGAGTTAGGCCCTAAGTGGCAAATGCCAAGGTTTATTTGATGGGTGGCCTAATATGGGTAATCCCGAGGCTTGATGGCCCATTGGAAAACTTGAATTGTGTAGCCTGCATGATTGTATAGACTTGTTGGAATCTAGAGCTTGACATCGTCTTGTGAAAGCTCGCTTTCGTAGCGAGGAGTGTCAGATTGGGGTCCACTTGTACATCCCACTGGACTACCACTGGGATTCTTATCATTAATAACATCATCTACATCATTGGAAAAGCCGCAAAAGGACAAGTAAGTACAAGGATGGAAGAAAGTTAATGGATCCAAAAGTTTAATTGCCACAAAAGTGAGAATTGCGAGTCAACCTCGTGCTATGTAGATGGGAGACGAAAATATCGAGATGCTCCAGCTGTACAGAACGCTTAAAGCGATTGCTCTAGCTGTCGAAGGCAGAATGTTTTCCGAATAGCTATTCCCAGGCCTTTAATTGCTTCCTGCACAGTCTCCAGAGAGACACTTGCGAAGTTCAATCGGAAGAAAATCTTTTCCATTGGAACATTTTCTCCGTTACTAGGCATAAACCAACTCCCCGGGACAACGAGAGTGTTGTGCTCGATGGCTGATTTGTAGATTTCTTGTTCGATCTCTCGAGCTGACATGTCGTTCGCACTCGGATGTTTCTTCCAGTCGATCGAAATCCAAGCCTAAGAAGAATATTTGTTCAGTTTAATTGGTCACCTAGGGCTAGTCATCGAGTAGGAGGCTTACGAAAAATCCGGCAGTTGGGGGATTCCAAGTCACGACCTGATGTGGCAGATACCGCTCGAATGAATCAAACATTGTGTTGCGCCTTCTGGTGTATTCTTTCTGTAAATGACGCAGCCATTTCACAAACCCGACATGACCCCAGGTATCATGCAGAAGCTTGAATATCGCAATTTGGGAGAAACCACTGGGATTCTGCACAGAAACTTCGTGGGCTCGCACCATGCGCTCGATTACCTGTTCTGAAGCAGTGACCCAGCCCATGCGAGTACCTGGGGCAATTATCTTTGAAAAAGAATCCATTCGGAACACTCGCCCATCTGTGTCAATGCTGAGATAACTGGGAATCAGCGCCCTGGCAAATTGCTCAACGGATGTTGGGAATGAATCTGTCTCTGGCTCTAGGCTTTGCTTTTCATCCAATGGTAGTAATGATGATTTGTACGGTGGCATCTGAATGAAGTAGTACGGATCATCTTCAAGGATGTACACGCCGTGCTTCTGGGCCACCGCATAGATTTCGTGCTTTCTCTCAATGGGTTGCGTCGCCCCGGAAGGGTTTTGGCCACATGGTATAGTGTACAAGAGGACTGGCTTTTTACCATTTCGTTCTCGCTCACTCCAATTGGTCAGGACAGAATCCAACTCCGCAGGAATGATGCCCAACTCATCCATTCGAACGGTGGCAAACTTGTAGCCCATTGGCACTCCAGTTTCATAGACTGTAGGATAGGTGTACTCTTCCACAAGAATGTAGTCACCCATCTGTCCGAGCATTCGAAAAACGATGTCGAGAGCGGAAGTGTTACCAGCTGTAAGGATACACTTCCAGTCTTTGTACGGAGGATTGTGAATCAGCTATTGGCCATGATCATTAATCCACTCTTCAAGAAATTGCCCTCTCTCGCCTCAAAAATCACGCAACTTACGTTGATATGCTCTGACAGAAATTTCAAGAGTTGTGTTGATCCAGTTCCCTGGCCATACTGTAAAGCAATGGCAATGTCATATATGCTCTCCCCATTTTGACTGTCATGCTTTCCAGCATGAAATCTTGTGGTTTCTGGAGTACTGCTGCCGCCAAATTTGAGCCCTTCAGTTGATGCTGCGTCCCAATCCATACCGTAGAAGGGAAAATACTCAGTGGAAGGAGCTCCAGGCCCCAGTGATCGAATTCCAGCTACGAAAATGTCAGGATAGTAATGTCGCACGCTGCATAGGAGACAATTCACCAGAATGATCGAGGACAGTATGAAGACCCTGCATTGCCGAGTTCTGTGACTTGGATATTAGCATATTTTGTTAGCACAAAATTGAATGCATCAGGGGTACTCTACCTTTCTCAGCAAGCTCTCGCTGTTCAGAAGACCTGAACACCGCACGCATAGCAGTGTCAGTCTGGCAAAACAACTTCTCATCCTCGAGAATTCTTACCTTTCCAGTCTTTTGCATTCGCCATGTCACCATCAGCCTTGGAATTTGTGGGGGCCATGTTGATGGGAATGATGTTTGTGGAAATGAACGTCTTCCGAGGATGCGAGGATTGTCAATATTGTTCAGTCTCCAAAACACAAGCTAGCGGAGCCAAATCTGTCCGATCACGACTTGCGTCTCTGATCACAACGTTTACGGTGGGAAATGCCGTAAGTGATACGAGGTCGGTATAATACTACTCCAGGATATTGATCCTCCTAATCTGACATGCATTAGTTCGGGTAGATCGTGGATCCTCCTAGGCCCCCTGCAGCTTACCTGTTTTCTATCTCGGTGCTTCAGAAAATCTTCCCTGCCTAGCGATTTTGGGATATGCAATGTAACATTAAAATGGCTCATTTCCTAGTGAATACCCAATATGGAATGTAATCGACATAGAACATTCATCCTGTCGGCTCTCTTACGTTAGAGTATTTACTTGTTCGCTGCGTCATTCCCGAATTATTGTTATCTCCAGCTCTAGATCCAAGCATGTACTTTCATCGAGAAATAGATACCTACATACTAGTGCAATACAAGTGCTTACTGAGGTTAGGACGATATCAGGTAAGACAGCGTGGGGATATTGAGTGGCTACCCCGAAAGCGCCCACCAAGTATTGGCACAGGTACCAACCATCAGGTCTTTCTTCCCTTCTCGCCCGTTTAGTTGCAAGAATCCGAACGAACGGACCGACCGACGGAGCTCCTGTAAAGCCCAGATTCAGCTAGTGCCACTTGGCGCCACATGTAACCACATCCACGTTAAAACTGATAAGACAGGGTAAAATTTTCTTGCCACGACAACTCCTACCATTTCCATGATTAGTCACGTAGATAGAACTAACTTCGCCCAGAGGAAAAGTGGCTCGTGTACTTGACAAGTGGTGGGTATAAATCCCACTCTTATGTTCATAGGACTCTCAGAGATTACAGTTTATCACTATATCAACCTCTCGAACTTGATTCTCCTTCGGATCATCGAAACATAAGTTTATTTTAAAAAGCACAATGACTGTTTCTGTGGGCGACATGCGGCCGTCCGAAGTCTCGCCCAACGTGGCGGTTATTCAAGGGATTAATCCTAATTATACCGGCTTTGACCATATCAGCTGGTATGTTGGCAATGCACGTCAAGCGGCTACCTACTTCGTCGTCCACTTCGGCTTCAAAGTTGTTGCCTACCGTGGGCCGGAAACCGGATCGTATCTGACGTCCTCCTACGTTGTCTCTAACGGCAACGCCCGATTCCTCTTGACTGCCCCGATAACTGGACCTGACAATACATTGGAAAAACGGGCTTCAGACGAGGATCGCAAGCTGTTGAATGAGATTCACGCCCACCTGAGAGATCATGGCGACGGAGTCAAAGACATTGCCTTTCAAGTCGACGATGTGAATGGCGTGTGGGAACATGCTGTCAATAATGGCGCGGTTTCCATTCTGAAACCAAGGCTCCTGCAAGAAGGAAATCTTGGAAGTGTGCTCTGCGCGACGATCAAAGCCTACGGTGAAACGGCTCACTCACTGATCAATCGTTCAGACTACAAGGGAGCTTTTCTTCCCGGGTTCCGTCCAGCAACAGACTTGGAACGTTTGAATGAACACCTACCGAAAGTGAATCTGATTGAAATCGACCATTGTGTGGGAAACCAACCTTGGAATGGGCTTGATAGCACGGTTCAATAGTAAGCCTTCCCCCTTCGAGCAATCTTTTGAATAAAGTGGCTTACAATCCTATCTTTGCAGCTATGAAGATGCCTTGAACTTCCACCGGTATTGGTCCGTTGATGACAAAGACATGTGTTCGGACTACTCTGCAATGCGCTCCGTTGTGGTTGCTTCCCCCAACGAAGTTATCAAAATGCCCATGAACGAGCCAGCAGCTGGGCTGAAAAAGTCCCAGATAGAGGAGTTCGTGGACTACTACAACGGGGCAGGCTGTCAGCATATTGCGTTCCGAACGGACAACATTATCGAAGCGGTCGAAAGCCTCTCGCAGCGCGGTATGAATTTCCTTTCGGTGCCCCAAAGCTATTACATTGGCATTCGCGAACGGCTGGCAACCAAGAATGTCAAGATTGCAGAGGATCTAAAGCTTCTGGAAAAGTACAATATCCTAGTTGATTTTGATGAAGGTGGTTATCTGTTACAGATATTCACAAAACATGTGACTGATCGTCCGACGATCTTTATGGAGATTATCCAAAGACAAAACTTTGACGGATTCGGGGCTGGAAACTTTAGGAGTCTGTTTGAGGCTTTTGAGAGAGAACAAGCATTGCGCGGTAACTTGTAGAACTAGCTACATTCTTATTCGCATTAGAGGCATACAATACGGTACCTATTTAGCAAAAAGAGTTTGAAGAGATATAACATATGCCTATTAGCTGGTTTCAATATCAATTCTGACTTTGTTGGAGCAGGCTAGCCCCTGTGGACTTCGCTGCTATCCTGTATAGGTCTCATAACCCTAGGGCCAAAAGAATCAAAATGTTGATGTTGCTGTCTGTTTGTTATCTCTCAGATGCCACAGGCTCGCCATCCCATAGTTACTGACTATATAGTCAGTCATCTTTCCTAGTTTGTACATTAACTCTCCAACAATCTACATATTGTACACCATCGTCTACTATCTTAGACATCAACACTGTCCTTATATTTAAATAAAACCCATAATGGGAAGACCGTTTTCTTTAGGCACAGTAGCAGTCTCCTAATATGTTGGTGAGATGGCAATAGGCTTGCTATCGCAGCAGAGTCCCTGGCTGAAGAGGAGAGCGGAGCTTGATAGTGCGAAGTTCGGAGACCGCATAGTTCTCAGTGATAGACTGCATTCAAGATCGTTAAAGTCGCAATCTATATGTCGATTCCACACGGCTATCCACGACAAACGAATCATCATGTGTAAGAACCCCAACCTTCATTCTGCCCATGGTAATCAATCGAGATAGCCGCAGCCGATCATCCGGTCGTCGACATAAACTTGCGGTCGGCAGATTTTCAATAACTTGTGCATTTAAACAACCTAACCAGAGGTATCGCGAAAAGAAATGGTAATATTAATGTTTTGATATAAGATATATATTTAAGATTTGGACAGTGGTACCACCACTTTCTATGTGAGCCTCTATAATTTACAACTTATCCAAATAACGCGTTTTCTCGAGCATTTAAACGTGATATATAACTCTTAACTAATTATTAATTACGTATCAATTGAAAGAATAAGATATTGCCCCGATATAAGGGCTAAAAACCGGATCTAAATATAAGGTCATTCATTTTTCAAATATGTTTGCATTTTTGAGTGCCAATTAGGCTTCATAGATCCCTATTAAGGGTCCAAAGTCCTGCCCATTTACGGGTTGGGTTAGGGTAAGCTATGGGCGTTGTGGGCTTTGCAGAGGTCTAGTCTCGAGCACGTGACATAATTAGAACGATTTGGTGCATGAGTTTTTTAAGGTTTCGCTGTGGATATATCGTACCTTGGTATAGAGATGATTAGTCGAAAGCTTATGTCGTCGGCAACTTATTTCAATATCTACGTAGCGCTTGTCGGCAATTGTTCATTCAATAGCCGAATCTTTGATGGTTAATCCTGTTGCCGATGGCCCTCCGTAAGGTTATTAGGAGCGCGTGGTAGTGGTAGTAGGAGGTGTGGGCGATGTACTCCGTACATCGCGGTCAAATAGCAGGTGCGGAGCAAGTAAGTACTCTTGAAACCTGTAGAATGATAAATTATCCTAGAGGGTTGATTAGTTTCATCATTTGATTTTCACACTGATTTCGTATTTGTTCCGGCCATTTTTTCTCGGATTGCTGTCTAATTTGATTGGTGCCCGGTATCCGGTGTCAAATCTAATATATCACTAGGACAAAAGTCACCAAAAGTAAAGTCCCCTGCCCGGCATTCATAATATCCCTACGAGAACCCCTATGCAAAATCTTTTCCTTTTAACCCATTTTGGAATTCAAGGTGGACATAACATCCCACCTTTGTGCAGCTCTATCTGGACATATCACTCCTGACAATAGGAGATATTCCAAATGGATTGAGACCGTCCACAGCTTGATGCGGCTTTGCCCTGCCGTCATTCCAAATAGATTAAAAGTCAAAGTATGTATCCCGATGATTTACAAAGTTCCATTCACGTCCTTGCCATCTAGATTCAATGGAACCTAACGTTTAACAGAATTCCATATTATACGCTTGCCTCTTCAAAAAGAAGCGGCCCAAGTCGCCAGCTTATGTCTTCATGGCCAGTTTAGACCGCCTAGGATTCCATCGGGTTGATGCCACCCAAGGAGGAACAGTCACAATCTTTCTGACAGTCCTACTCTCCATTGCATTCTATAATGCGGTTGAGCTTACTATCCTTATATTTGTAACATTCCACCGCTACGATGGATTGTATTTTTGGTCCATCCTGTTATCAACTGTCCTTGGAATCATACCTTCAACCGCCGGTACGCTGTTGAATTATTTCTCCATTGGACCGTTATGGCTCGCAATCTCTTTTTCCACAATTGGTTTCTACTTTACGGTTCCTGGGCAATTGGTTGTTCTCTATTCAAGACTCAATCTGGTCTTGTACAACACCAGAATTCTCCGGTTTATTCTTTTCATCATCATCATTGATGCAGTGATCATCCTCCCTGCAACAATCGTTTTAACATTTGGGTCGGCATATATCCAAGAGCACCACTGGAATTTCGGGTATTATGTTATCGAGCGGCTGGAGGTGACTTGGTTCTGTGTGCAGGAATTCTTGATGTCTCTCGTCTATATATGGGAGATAATCAGGCTACTCAATCTCGACCCAGAGAAACACAGTCGTCGAAGCCGTGTCATATACGAGCTTATGGCGCTAAACCTCATTATCATTGTTATGGATATAGCACTTCTAGTTGCTGAATATCGAGGCCATCTTTTTTTCCAGGTCGTCCTCAAATGCTTTGTCTACAGCGTGAAGCTGAAGCTTGAATTTGCTGTTCTGGGCAGGTTGGTAAATATTACGACCAGGAACCACCATGAGCCAACTACCAATGAATTGTTCAACATCCCAGATTCCATGCAGTTTCAGCTGAGAGAAGATTTTGAAACCCACGATGGCTGGATGAGATGAACCTGAATTCTGTTGATCTTTTTGAGCGGTACTGTATTTAGTCATTATTTACATACTCCAATTGTACAACACATTCTTGATAAATTTTCCTTTCCGCTCTAGCCACATGAGGTATACATTCGTCTTATAGTGCTTCAACATCTTTCAATCAGCCTATCGCCGCTGAAACTGCGTGCAGGAATATAAGGCATTCAATAACTGGTGCACAAATTATACAACAAGTGTAGAAATCAACAGCTAAATGCAGTCAGCCAACGTATGCATCGTCGGCTAGGAAGACCAGAACTATTCTTTCAATCCGAATAATTTCGCCTTCGCGCGCCACTTTCTCGCTACCTTTCTCGTGTCTGCGCAAGGGTTCGTTGTATGAACTACTTCGTCGATCAACTCAAAGGTCCTGCACCCAAATAGCAAGGCATTCAAAGCCTGTGAAATCGTTGGAGTTGTGGTAATTGGTACGCTAAAGCTCTTCGAACGGTATTTTGGCCTAGGAGATTTTGCATCCCAGGGATTTGTTGCTGTATTGTCCATATGTCTGCTAAATTATCTCGTCGCCAGAGCCGTGTTGACATGGACGTCTTCAGCGAGTCAGCTACCCCCGTAACTCGCAGTGGAAGGGCCCACATCTCAAAACCACCAATGAAGCAAGGGAACACCATGTCCATGATTCCTATGTAGTGATGGATAGAACATGTAGTACCTAAGGATGGATAAAACGGTTGAGTTAGAGTGTTTAGGCACTTGCTCAATTTTACTCTTGGATCAAAAAGCGGTAAGAGGCCAGCACTAAAATGGAAAGGGCAAGCTGACCTTGGAAGAAGAAAGGAAAACAAGTACATAGATCAACAGGTCATGTTGACGCAAACCTAGTGTTAATTATGTATACATCTAACCTAAACAAACCCTCAGAGGCACAATTAAGCTTTGACTCGATATAGAGAGACCGTATCTTCCTTGCCACTCTCTGCCTCATGCCTCACTTTCACTAACATCTTTATATCTGCCAAAAATGGCTCCTGTTCCTAAGACAAGTCTGATTCACACCCAGAGTCCCCAGCTGAATTGGCTGCCGGATATATAGGGGTGCTTATACTAGCACTCTGTGCTATATTGTTGATCATGCATATATGCGCCATCTTGCATAAGTATGTATGACCACAGAAACATCACTGAACACGATGATGTTTTAAGAAAGCAAAGTCTACGGGGAACCTGATGCTAAAATTACTGTGATTCTGTTAGAAATGGAGTTTTTGACCAAGTCGGCTGCTGGATCAAGAACTGCTACATCGGAGTAAAAGCAGCTCTCAACACCACGAGGTTGAGAGCAAAATCATTTTTCAACCCAGTGAGCTTGAAGAAAGCTAGAACAGAAGGCTATGGTGAGATATATGCCAACCCTGAACAATCAGGATGTTATAATGTTGAAATATCATACAGACCCACACAATGCTTCCGATGTGAGGCTGCAGGACATCATTCCTCCCCCTAACCTGACTCATGCTACTACACCTCCAACCTGTGTTTCTTCTTATGGTCAATAGGGCATTGGTATTGGCACACATATCTCAGGGGAAGCAATCGCTCTATGGCTATCCCATAGAGACGACTAGGAACAATATCTTTGGAGATGATGGGTTGTTTTGAGGTAATTACCAATGAGTAGTGCCATTGCTATATTCATGAAGAATTGAGTCCGGTGACATCGAAATTTTGCAAATATTGCCTTCAGTTGAATAAATGATCTCAGGTCAATATAAATTACAAACGTGGAATAAGCTAAACAGAAAGAGAATTATTCATCCACGCATAACCTGTGCAGCAATTAAAGAACGAAGCTAGCGAGTATTGGCAGACAGGGGTATATGAAGAAAAGACATGCTTCCTCGCGGTAATAATTCAAGTACGCGCAATTTCCAAAGAAAGACAAAGTTCATGTTCATTCATCATCAACAAAGGAGTTAGCCAGGTGGCCAAAGAAAGGGACCTCAAAGTGGTCCAAAGTATCAACTAAAGATAGTTTGATTAGTATCAGATTTCTCTTTCCTGTCAACGAATAGCTCAGCTAGCTCAGCCGTATTGCCAGTTCCCATGGATAAACCTTGGAAGACTCACCATCTTGGTAGGCATGCATACTGAGGAAGCCGATTAAAGCAATATCAATAATAAACAATGTCCAGGAGAGAAAGCTCGACCAGCAGAACAGAAGGTGGATGATCTATGTTTGGTATGTGAGTATGTGCGAGATTAGGAAAGATGGAATACTCACAAACATGGTAGCAAATAACATGCTCGACTGCCAAGCATGAAATCTGTAGTCAGTAATTAGTATACTGAGCTTTGAGGCAACCACAGAGTAATCCCAAGCCCATCACATACCGCACATAGTCGCTCTTGTGTTCAGCTAGTAACAGAAATACACCCCCCGCGGGAGGCAGAAGCAGATACGCCAGCGCTGCTTCAATGTCCATGCGAATGGGAAGACTTGTTTCAAAAGCCCCTAAACTCACATGGCCACCCTCGACGTCTCGTCCAAAGCCTATGTTGCCATATCCGCCGCTAGCAAAGTGACGAGGGGAGGGTAGGTCGGCCGAGGCTCGGGGTGAGCGGAGAATTGGGGATATTTGATGGCCATCTAAGTGGGGAGGGGATAGAGCGCGTTCGAGCTCCGGTGATTGATCTTGATAGGGTGCGAAGTTCATTGTGTTGTCGTACCTGGAAAAGGTGAATGACGGAATGATCTTCGTGGATCAGGGGAATAATTTGGGGTAATCTCCTTATCGTTATCAGATCGCGACGCGTGTAACTGCCCACCCAGTGAACGCGATGCCTTAGGCGGGACTAGGCGACAAAATAATATATTAAATTGAGGGTATCATATCATTCGGGTTTATCTTTATAATCAAAGATTTATTGTACATAAACTAGGCAAGTTCATCTAGACCTTCCCCCGACCGCGAGAAATTCCACTCCCTCGTGCTATCCCGCTGGCTGGCCGTTGGGTTGTTGTCGTAGACCCCCGTGTTGCTGTGCGGGTTGTGCTGACACTGGCCGTTCTTCCTAAGCCCGTGGTTCGAACTGTGCCCCTCGTAGTTCCGCGGGTGCCTCGAGTACCCCGAGTGACCTGTGCGCGTCGCTTTTCAATTTCCTCAGCTTTTCGCGCTGCTACTTCTCTTTGTTGCTGAAGTGCCTGCTCGCGTCTTTCTGCCGCTTGCTGTCTTTGAATCGCTTGGTTCTCGATATCGATCATATCCTGACTAGCACCTTGCCAGTTGGGGTTGAGTATCAGTCGCTGGTTATGCTCGGTTTGGGAGAGAATGCGGGTCCACGTGTTGAGTAATGTCGAGGCCGAGGTAACAGTTTGTGAGACAGTCTATACAGATGATTAGCTGCAGTATTGACTATGCATGATGAGAAAAACATATTACCTCCATGTTCCCTTTGGCGGAGTCCAAACTTCCCAGAAGTCCTTCTATCACTTCGTTGATATTCCGCACACCTTGTAATTCTGCCCGGAGAGCAGCCTCTCGGGCCTCCCGGTGATCAAAGAGAGGATCCTCGCCATCATGGGAAGCTCGAGGTTCTGGGGTAGTTTTCTCGTCGGTCCTTGGGTGGATCTTTTTGTGGGACACTCTCTTGGATGGGGAGTTCCATAGGTCATCTGTCTCATCGTCGGATAGCTGAAGCCTCTCCATTTCTTCTGCTGTGGTGCGGAAGGCCATGGTGTTGAATTTGCACAAAGTAGGAGCCGAAGTATGTACAAGCAAGCTTGATAGACTGAACACCCAAATGGGTCTAGTCCTAGAGTAATTGGGCGTATGAAGTGCTTGAAGGTCAATTGACAGCTGATGAGCGACAAGATCAACAGTCGTAAGATATTCAAGCAGGCAATTGGGGTAGATCGAAATAGGAAATCCACATTGTTGACGCGGGGTTTTCAGCCACCGTAATTATCGGGCGGTGAGGATACCCGGTGGCTGGGCGACAATCGCCTTTCACAACAACTTCGCCCTTCCTTCATCCCCAACTTATCGTTATTTTGTTCTCGACACCTCGGACAATTGGATATCTGCAAGCTCACGTTTAATACATTTTTTGGACCTTTATATCTCCGAGCGCTTCCTTGATTTTGGCCGGACATCTGACAAGTCGGATGTGGTACGCCCTTGATTGAATCGACACTCCTACTCGACACTTTATTAAGATCACGGAATTCAGAAATAGCCCAGGAATAAACCGTGACTAGTATACTACTTCCATTCTTTATTCAAAAGATCGCAAGCCATCGAGCGGCTGTGCAATCGTGTTTCAAGTCAACATGGCGTCGACACCACCGCCGCCATCACCGTCTGAGCTTCGCGTACCCAGAGCGCCGCGACATGGGGCAAAGCACGACAACTATGAACCTTACCCTACACGTTACTCTGCAAGAATTGCTGGTCAACGCGCGCCGAGGATTGTTCAAACCACGCCACCCCCAAGTCACCCAAGCGCATCTGCCAAACCTGGACCATCTAAAAGAACTCTTTCACCCTCGTCGCCTGGCACCACCCAACCCTCGCCCAAAAAGGCAGCACGCTCTCACAGAACTGCTGCCTCCCGTATTGCTCCCTTTGATTCGGAACTTGCCCTTCCCCGCAGTTCTGCACACCACACCTCCCGATCCTCTGCAGAACAGGCTTTACCTACCCCAGCTAAAACCCCTTCGAAGAAGAAGGTAATCAATTCTGATTCTTCTACATCTCGCTCTCTATTTCCTTCCACCTCCACCCCCAAACGCAGAAAAATGGATACCCCCAAAAATCATGCCGGGGAACCCCCAGCAATCTTTGTCGATGAGCCTTTAACAGGGTACACTATTGAAGCTGCAGAGCAAGAATTGGGTATCTCCATCCATGAGGATTCACGTGATCGCATCCCTGTGGTCGGTCCACTCTCGACTGATTCGTTCATTTCCAAGGCTGGAAGAGCGGTCGGACGACCTGCGACTCGCTCAACCACCAACCACAAAGATGGAGCTTATTATGTCCAGTAAGTCAAACCTCACTTACCCACCATACTCACACATTCTGACTTTTATTTTAGCCGTGGGAAAAAAATCTTCAAGCGCTTCGATGACATGGAAGATGAGGCCGAGGATGAAGATGACCTTGGCCTTTTCGCCAATCGCCCTGACCTGCTGGCCGATAACCCTGATATTCTCAAGAGCGTGAAGCCTTTGAAACGTGGCGAAATCAAACCTCGCCTCCTCTTTTCTGCCCCCGTTCAGTCTACCGATGGTGACGAGGAGGATGTCACCGATGTCGAGGATCACGAGCCGATGTCTCCAACTCCGGCTTATGAAGACCAGGCATCTCTGACTGCTTCCATCTTGCCAGATCCACCTACCCCATCCTTTGAATCCGAGGACTCATCTGTCGTTCACTCTGCCCCCGTTGGGCGTACTGGCCTCCGCTTCCCTCGCCCTGCCGTGGGCGATGTGTCACCTTTCCAGTCCGCTTCTTTCTCTGAGGACCTTGGTCTCAGCGCTTCAACTGAGGACCAGACTCGGTCCCGAGGTCTCTCTGTGAGCAGTGGCAGCAGCCTCCTGAAGTACTGGCCGCCTGTCAGTAGGAAGACGCGAGATGTTGAGGCCCGCAGCGACCGTGTGAAACGCCTCCGCGAGGCCCGCGGTAGTCCTGCCCCACGCACTCGACAGGCCCTACGCGCTGAAGCTTCTGGAGAGGCTTCGACTGCTGAGCCATCTACGTCCGATTCCTAAGTCTCACTCAGGCCTCACATCTTCTTTCCTCCACTTTACAATATTCCAGCGCTTTGAGAATTTTCACCTTGATTTCGTTTGTGCGTTGTGCCGGACTTGGCACTGAGGATACCTAGCAATCCTTTGTTTGTTGCGCCCAGGTGCATCCTTTTTGCGGGCGTGTTCTTCTTTATTCTCCTAATGCCTTTATTTTTCCCCACGACGGCCATCTTGTAACTGCGCAGGCCGCTGGTGTTTCTTTCATTTATTTGCGTTTTGTTCCAATGGCGCGCATGGGTTTGTGAATCGCGAATACTAAGGATACCTCATGAAAACATTTTCAGCTGGAATAGCGGCGTTTTCTCTTCTCTTTCCATCTTTGCTTTTCAAGATTGTTTCTTTCTTTTGGTTTGATTTTTTTTGGTACCGGCGTGCTCTTTTGTTTTATTCATCGCGGGAAGCGATCATCACGGGAGGAATCATAGTGAAGCGGAATAGCTCAATTGAAATTCAGGATATTTGGAAAATCCTCCATGTAGCTAGTTGTCCGTAGAAACATGTTTCTCTGTTGTAGAAGTATGTATGTATCCATAATACTACTTAGTGTAGTCAAAACAAGCTTTCGGCAGTAGCCGCGCTAATCATCGCGCAGAAACTAATAATACATACAGATGAAGGAAGCAAAGCCTTCCACCCGTGGACATAATGGAGGTACAAATACATTATTCATCACATTGGCTCATGACAGGGGTTGTATCTAGCTCTCTCCTCGACAAATCCAACCGAAAGGAAATCCACCCAATGCAACCGGGACATGCTTTGTATTCATTACAGCGTTATGAGTATTCATATCCTCAATGGGGACTCGTGGGGTTGAGGTGGCGCCAGGATGGATATGGGCATTTAAATGCGTCAAATGAATTCTAGGTCATCGTCGTCATCATCATCCAAGAGTAACTGTTTCCCACTGGACGTGGTCTCAGCTGGCGCACCCAGGCTCTCCCGGCCAGCCTCCTTGATACCTCTTGAAGTGATGAACCGCGTCTTCTTGACCCCGCTCCCGTGGGGCTTGTCATGGGCACGCTTCATTGGGCTTAAACGGACGTTCTTGGCTTTACCGAAGGTGGTCATATCCATGCCGTTGGTCGTGATGGGGCTCTTGGGCAATGGGGTGCCTAGTGCTTTTTCTTTGTTTGGGCTCTCGTTGCCGGTCCTTGTGCGAAGGTATTCGGCGCCCACACCACCGACACGGCCAGAAACAAGCTTTTGGGTAATGTCGCGCTCTCGCTGTTGGGTCGCGAGACGCCTGCGCATTCGTTCCTCCTTGCTATCCATACCGCGGCCCATCATACCTGAAGCGATGAAGGGATCGTCATGCGCATCAATCAGGTTTGCCGCCGAGCCTCCCCTGGGGTTGTAAGACGAACGGCCAGCACCGCGATTTCTGGAGGGCGCCACGTAGTAGAGCGATTGAGATCCCATGTCATACTGAGGACCATTGTGCTTCATGCCTTGCTTGAAGGCACCTCCCCGCTTCATTCCCTCCCCAAACAATCCGGTGCGCGAGCCAGACTTGCCACCAGGACCAAGCATACCGGTGTCAGCATTGACTCCCGAGCGTTGGCCCTGAGTGCGTCTGATTTGAATATCAACATGGAAGTCACAGAACTCGGTCTTTCGACCATCTATCCAAGATTGGCAGGGCTTTCCGTCTTTTCTCACAGCCTTGCAGAACCCAATATCCCGTGCCTTGCCAATTTCGAGGACCTTGTCATCTGATGAGGACAAGGACAAGCTGAATCTGTTTGTGTCCAGCTTGTGCTTTGGAGGAGGCATGATTGTTGGGTTCAAAATTGCGACAAGAGTTCCTTCCGAGATTTTGTAATAACGGGGGAAAGCAGTATCAAAAAGGAAGAGGTCGATAGTCCATTTCAGATCGGTCAGGGTAATGGCCATATATCTGTTCGTATTGTTAAGCCCATCATCATACGGGTCCTTTTCTTGAGCCGATGTGTTCCCCGAAGCTTTCTTATCCCGAGGGTCAGACTTGGACGCAACGATACCAAATACCACAAAGTCACCATCGATATCCTCTGGGAGCTCGAATGCGGGTGCCTTTACGGTTTTGAGTAGATCAGGTATGCGCAGAACTCTCTTTTCTGCGAGTGTGCGGCTCAAAAAAGAATGCGGAAGAACTCGGCTTGACAAGTGTAGCGATGAGTAGGACTCGAATTTTGAAGAATCCGGAGCCTTCACCGAAGCATCATCTGTTTGGCCTAGTTTGTGGGCTGAACTTGGTTCTTCTTCTGCCGTATGAGTTCGCCTATGTAGATGAGATTGTCTCTCATTGTGCCCACTGCCCTCAGTTCGTCGAACATTCGGAGTTGTATTACTGCGATGTAGACCGGATGGGCGGGATTGTCCCATAGATCGAAGTATATCCTCACGGCTGAAGCTTTCCACAGGCCGCTCTCGTGATACTGACGATGGGGGTGAAGACCTTGTATCCGAGGCTGCAGATTTATAGGCCTCAATCTCCGACTTGTCAACTTGAAAAGCTGAACTGCGGTTAGCCTGGACCCTTTCTGCTCTCTCCAGCCGAGATTTTTCGGCTGCCCTGCCTTCCGCCATTCTCTCGCTGAAACTTTTTATTCGGTTGATCCCACCCGTCGATGAAGGAGAAGTCTGGGGCCGCGAGCTGAATATGTCATTAGAGCGCGGTGTAGCACCGTCTCGAAACCCCATATGACTACTCGGTCGAGGGTTGGGTCTTGAGCTTGGAGGTCGTTTCAATGATACATCATTGGCTTTCCAGCCCTTATCAATGCCCATGACATACCTGCGAGGTGATATCGAGTCGGAGGGAGGAACTTCTCGTCTGGTAGGTGATGCCGGAACCTGGATTCCATCGCTGCTCGTTCTTTGCCTCCCTCCTTGGGTGATTCTTGGTGTCGCACCACGGTCTTCAGTTCGCAGAGCGCTGGTCGCGGAATTTGGTCGCACATCTTCGTCCTCGAGGTTTGAACTAGACCTTCCGCGATTCTTTTGCTGGAGTTTCTTCAACTTCAAGCGCGCTTTGATCTCGGCTAGCTGAAGCTGCAGGGTTTCTTCGTCCTCCTCTTCCCCATCATCTTCGTCCACAATTTGACTCGCTTTCGATCGGAGATTGGGTGTGGTGCTGGAGCGCTTCAATGGCGATGTCAGATTCTCTCGAGTGCGTTGCATGTCTTGGTACTTTCGTCGTCCAGCCGGCGAACTCAAGAGAGCCGCGCGGGGCGATTGAGGCGGCCACGCAGGTTCAACCACTTTGGCGGGGGAAATAGTTAGCAATCGATCAGCCGAAGCGATTGGAGGGACCTTACTCGCGATTGATGAGAGGATTCAGACGTAATCAGAAACCGAATGTACCATGGAGCGTCATTTGCGGCCTACGCCCTTTGCTCTTGCGCAGAATGCGGAGTACAGAATGTAGATTATGTGGAAGAGTCAAAATGATCACAGAGATCAGAGCACAGGGATACAATAACAAGGGCTGAAACTCGCTAATGCAAAGGGAAAGTGACGGATCGCGCACAGGGCTGATTGGGTCGGGAAGGCGCGTTCGCGTCGCGGTTGCCCTTGCCATTTTAGCCCCTTCCATTTCCGATCTTCTGGTCTTCACCTTTCACTTCCACATATCACACCCACAATGAAGACTCGATCAGCACCAGTGTCAAAATCGAAGAAGCCTGAAGACGAGGCGCAGACTAAAACCCTCGTTGCGGCGGAGAAACCAAGCAAAACGTTTATCCTCCCATCCTCCAGCGGCGACAATGCGCGACTTCTCTCCCTGCCAGATCCCCAATCAGGAGAGCTAACACGCTACTTCTTCTGTCCGGATCGCGGTATATACGAATTTACTGTTGTTGCCCCGCCGGCGCATATGGCGCGCAGTATCCTGTTCACCCCTCGCACGCGCAAAACCCCGAGCCCGTTGGAAGAGGAGAAAAAAGACTCCGATGAGCCCTCCGTACATGGCTCAATCACAAAGAAGGCAGAGTTCCTGGTGGCAACCCCAATCGATGCGATGTTTTTCATGATTCCATTGTTGGCACCTTCCTCGAAATCAGGCCGTTCTCTTTTCCAACCATTCGACGATATAATCGACTCCCAAGACGATGTGCCCAAGCATCTGCGCCAAGTCCTTTATAATGATGAGTTCCGGGGCTTACTCCTAGCACGAGCCGAGGCTATCTGTGAAGTGGTCGAGGCTGGTGATGAGAAGATGTTCCGGTTCAATGAGACGAAGCTTGTTCAGGAGTTGATCACAAAAGCAGAACGCATGGCGGATCGAGGTCTTCCTGTGAGTATGGAAGAACATTTTGTCCGTCAGGCACTAGCTACGCCCTTGATGTCGGTCAAACGAGAAGATGTTGCGACTAGCCAAGACCCATCCAATGAGAGCCAGGAAACATCGAAACCCGAGGAGAGGCAGGATTCACCCTCGACTGTCGATACAACTGCGACCCCGTCTGTTGCGACACCTGTAGGGGAATCGACACCCGTGCCACAGCCACCGAGCGAACAATCGACAGCTACGGATCACATCACTCGTCTCCTCCGGATTTCCACTGCACTATCCTTCATGAAGGAGTCATACCTACCCGCCACTATTGCCTTAAGACTAGATGAGATCCTCACTTCCGCGGAGAGCCCGATCGATTTCAAGCCGCTGCAAGACCGTCTCAAGGAAATTGCAGAGCTTCGTGCTACAGCTCTCGCATCACGCGACATGTCCAACTTCAGTCGGAAACGAGCCCTTGATGACGAGGAAGAAGATATACGGGGCGAGAAGAAACGCCGCAAGGAAGAGGAGGAGAAAAAGTCCAAAGCTGCGCAATCCCAAGCTGTTAAGAATCTGAAGAAGGTCAACACGAGCGGGATGCAGAAAATGAGCTCTTTCTTCGCCAAGGCTGCACCCAAGAAGAAGACTTGAAATCTTTTTGGGATGCAATCAACTGAACTAAAACATAGCCGCATGTTATGCAGGTAATCTATTGCCTGGCTTCCGAGGAATACAACCATCCAGTTCTATGGTTGAAAGTCTCTGTCTCTAGATCTGGAGGCCTGGGCCTCCCACCCAGACAGGGCCGCCAAAGGCACTGCCAGTGCAATCGAGGTCAAGTTGAAACGCTCGCCTCGTTCCACAGGCCCAATAAATCTACCTGATTGCTTGAAAGGCACATACTGCAGTGGCTACCTGAGAGACACTGGTGCCCAGAAGATCTGGGGTATCTTTCTCAAATCCGGCCCATCTTTGCGCAGCTTCAATGTATACTATCTATTGAATAATGGGTGAAAGATAAATGTAATTTTATATTTTGGATAATCAATAGCCCTATTTGAGTGGGCTTTGCTTCAATCTACTATGCAATATTCAAAGAGGGATCTGGTCAATAGCAGCCCCCGTAACCCTATAACCAAAAAACGTTAGCCATCATCCAATGCATACCAGCGATCAAAAGGGTGTGGAAGGGAGCAACATACAAGAACGACCCATTGGACGGCTTGCTAATAACCATAGCCTGTTCCAACTTCTCCTTACTGATATCCGGGAATTTCTTAAGATAGTATTCATCCCTGAGCGCAGCAGTAACAGCCTCCACCTTACCCTGAGGCAACATGTGAACAGTACAACCACCCCACCCAGCACCAGTCAAGCGACTACCCCACGTACCCGCACGACGCGCAATAGCACAGATCTCATCGACCTCCGGCGCACTGCAATCATACGCCGTAGCACACGATTCCTGCGACTCATTAAGCAACTGACCGAGATAGTGAATGCGCCTCTCATCCAGCTGCGTAGCCTTGCTGAGACAAGCCTTGAAATCGAGAACGCGGCGCGCCTCCTTGAAGCAGTGCAGCGCACGCTGGCGAAGCTGGAATCGCTCCGCTTGCACGGGGAATGCGGAGAGGAAGGTCGACTCTAGCTCAGCTACGGTAATGCTCAGCAGCTGTGCCATCTCCTCGCGCGTGTACCCCTCTTCTTGCGTGAAAAGGTCCATCGTCGCTTGAATAACAGAGTCGATTTGGTACTCCAGTGGATCTTGGATACGGCCCTCTTTGGTCATTAGCTCGTTGTGGAAGTTGCGCAGACTGTAGCCCAAGGAGCTGTTATCCTTAGGTAGTGTCACACCGTGGTGCTTGGCGAGGATCACGGCGGCGAGGGTGCACTCTGCTACGCGTAGGTTGTAGTGACGCGGGGCAGTTTCGGCCTTATTGGAGGTTACGAAGCTTTGGGCCATTAGGAAGGTGATTTCGTCAGAGGATGTGGGAATTGGGACTTGGCGGGCGCTGAATTTAGGGAAGAATTGGGTGTAGAGTAGGTATCCGCGCTTGGAGAAGATAGATGCTGCTTGGTCCATGCTATTGTGACGCAGTGATGTTAACATTTTGCCGGTTTCTGTCGTCTGTTGAAGGGAGGATAACTCACCCGCCGGAATAAACGCCGACAGCCCGCTCCGACACAACAGCCAGATCCAACAGATCCTGTTTCGAGACGTCGTGGTTGTTGGCCTTCATGACAGCCAGCGCACTGGCGCACACGAAGGCAGCACTGCTAGAGATACCACCTCCGGGTGGGACATTGCCGTCGACCAAGATCTGCATGCTCGCAGGAATGAGCGAGCTATCGGGCTTCTCCTTGCGCAGGAACTTGAGGGCACCTGACAGGCCGGCGCGGAAATAGTTCACCCACTCGTGCTTTTTGGGGTCGATCTCCACGTCCTTATCGTGGGGCACGCTGAACTCGCGCGTGGGGAATTTCTCCGGCGAGACATTGGCGATCGTGATGGTGGTGCCCTCCGCGCTGGCAGGAACCACCTTGACAGCCATGATCACGTCGACGCTAACGGCTGTCGGTAAAACATCGTACAGTGAGTAGTCGATGTGTTCGCCGATGATGTTCACACGGCCAGGACTGCGCGCTACAAAGTCTGGGCGGTAGTTATATGTCTTGTTGAACTGGGTAATGAGATTGGTCCATCGCTTCTGGTGCTCTGGTGCAACGGATGTCACCGAGGCGTCGTCTGTTGCGTAGACTTCCGCGATGGATTCTGTTTGCGGCACGAGCTCTAGTTGGGGTGTCATGGCGGGGTAGGGGAAGGGTGAAGGCGAGGAAGGGAGGAGGAAAACAGAGAACAGGAAAAGGAAAAACAAAAGGAACAGAAGAAGTAGAAGAGGAAGAGCTAGAGTGGTAATTTGTGTGTAATTTCTCAAACAAGTGTCTCCCCATATTCCCCGATTCCCCGGCTAAAGTGGTAGGCACGTGGGGTTACAGCAGGGCCGTTTTTGCCTTTCTGGGAATTCCGGTGACTGCGTGCAGCCACTTTGCGGGGAGATGGCATGGGACTCTCTCCGGAGTCTCCATTCATCAATAACTAAACGCTTTTTGATTGGTTGGCTGGCTTTCCTCTCGCGGGGGGTTTCTACCGGATTTGGCTATGACGACATGTTCTCTAGGGGTATATATGGAGACAATATGTTGTACTTTCATTGTGAAATCTCTCCCCTTTCTCCTCCTTGTTGCAACTCTTCGTCTGTGTCTAATTAATTCCATAGTCATTCCTCTATATCTACAACATGACCTTCCTCTACGATGCACGTAGGTATGTTGGTATGTTCCTGGACTGTGGGGTTTCGAGCCGAACGTATCGGATTGAGAGATCCCGAATGTGGGCCTGAACAATCGGCATTGTGCCATATACGGCCCGATAGAACCGGAAAAATGTGGGAAATACTCTGTGGCTACATGTATACATGACTGAATTTCCCAAGGGGAAGGCCACCTTTATGACTTCTTTTGATACGTACTCACCGGACATATTACAATCTTAACTCCTTACAACGGCGAAGCCACTTCTGTGTCATGGAATCAAGTCCGCCTTTATACATTCCAGCAAAATCCAGCCAGTGATTAAGCGCACAAGAATAACTCTGAAGAATACTAACTATATTTATCAATGGTCTCCCGAGACATATAAAAGACCAGTACTACATAGTATATGGAAGTAGGTAAAGCAAGGCTTTTGTGATTCTTGATACCAAGAAAGTTGGTCTTTTAGTCGTGCTCCCCACTGTAACAGAATACTGCAAGAATTTCGAGGATAAAAGACAAATTGGCAGAAGAAAATAGACCAGCGAGCCTAGTATGACAAGGTTCGTATGGCAAACTCCCCACTAACCAGTCTGAAAAATCGCAATCGACGATTACTCCGGATCTAAGTGAGATGTATGCACAAAATTACACTGAACTATCCAAAGACTCGCAAATATATATGGATGGTTGCGCAATCAGTCTATGGCCATGCCAACAATACCACTGGTTACGAATGAAGAAGTGTGCCACGTGGGACATTGGTCGTATTGATAAACATTGGTTCACTACTTCTCCTCGACTCTTTAAATTCACATACACATATGTTGATTACGTCGTTATAACGTAGGTATATGACCTATCACTTATTTCTTTCCTTTTGGGGGTATTTTATAATTGTAGAGTTGTATAGTTATAATTTATCGATTAATTAATAGAGGTCTTATTCGTATAGATCAGGCAAAAAACATCCATTTTATACTACAAGCTCGATAAGCAGGTTCGATTCCTAACGTAGTAGGTGTCAGCTATATAACTACCAGTACCTCCATACCTACATATGTAGATAAAACTCACCCCCGGGGCCATAGAGCCCCGGCACACAAGTCCTAAGCTATAAAATGGCAGGGAAGTGTACCCGGGTAATCCTTTGTGGGTAGTACTAGCTAGTAGGACTAACGCCCCTGGTGGCACACTTTATCACCCGTAGTTAACCTTGGTCTAGAAGGTATGATATATATGAGTCTCAGCTTAGCTAGCACATTTATATCGACGGGTATGTGGGCATGGGTGTAGGGTTAATATTCACTGAGAATTCCATCCCGATCTAGTCGAAGCGCTATATATTTTGTCTTCTGTTCCCTCCTACCCTACTAGGCCTAGTTACATATATCAATTTCCTATTTCGATGATATAGATGATTTTAATGGTCCTCGAGAAAATAATCTAGACCAAAGGCGCACAGTGAAGAAGATCGAAGATTCCGAAATGACGAAAGGATTTGAGTTGTATGTCAGGTTGCGAGGTGGTCGGGAAAAGGATAGGAAGCTTAGCTGAGCAAAAGAATTCGGAGGTTTGGGTATTGGCAGAGTATGAAGTAAGGGATCAATAACATCGCATCTACAAAGGGCGCAGCGCAGGTATAACATCCTTGCAATGTACCTACCTAGCTACCTATATGTACATGTATGTATTGGGTAGGCCCAGATGCCCGGGCCGATCTAGACCCACTCGACGGAAAAGTTTGGGGATCTAAAATCGGACAAGGCTCCGGTGAGTTCTGTGTACAACATAGTAGGGTAATGTTTGACTATCATGACTTTTTGAAAGTCGCTGTTCCTGACAGACATGTCTGATTTGTTAATAGTTTGTTACGAGGCGTACAGCAGATATGTGTACACCATAAAACCATATTTTTTGCCGAGGACATACGAAAACACCAAATCAGGTGATCTAGCAACGGCCGAGGTCGGAGGGCGCGGAGGGGCGTCGAGCCAATCAAAAGCCCCGAATTTCTTGACTCAGAGCGGTCGGACATTTTGGGTTAAGCGTTTTCTCGGAATCCCCAGAGACGAGTCACAGGCAATCTTCAGGTCAATTGGCACTCTTTTTTCCTTACTTTTCAAACCACTCTCCCCTCAAACTTCCTGGCTTGGCTGTCATACACAATGATGCCTTTAAGACCCTCAAAAACCGCCCTGCGCGCGTTCCACCTTCAGAAGCAGCTTGCTGGACGTCGACCTTTTTCGACCTCGTTTGTGGCTTCGGCCGCTTCGCCCCACCGCTCCTCTGTCCAGAAGCGTACCCAGAGCACAGCTACGGCTTCAAATCCGTTAGTTTTTTTTCCTTCCCATGATCACAATGTAATTGCAGTCCGGTTCTGATTTGTTTCATCGTCAGCGAATCCAGACCCGTGCCCAGTCCGGCATTCAACCAGGAACCCCATCGCAATGAGATTTCTCCCTTGCAACACCGCCAGCTCCCCGAGCTCGATGACTCGTATGTTACCCTGATAACGGCTTGGACACACCGAAACTGATTAGCTGGTATAAAGAATGGTTGGAATGAGTGGTGGAGAGATCTTCCACGAGATGATGCTTCGCCAGGGTGTGAAGCACGTCTGTGAGTATCTCATCCTTGATATTGCCCAATTGCCCAATTCTAATACTTGATATGTAGTCGGTTACCCCGGTGGTGCCATTCTCCCCGTTTTCGATGCTATCTACAACTCCAAGCACTTCGAGTTCCTCCTTCCCAAGCATGAACAGGGTGCTGGTCACATGGCTGAGGGTTATGCTCGTGCCTCTGGCAAGCCCGGTGTCGTTCTCGTTACTTCTGGCCCCGGAGCTACCAATGTTATCACCCCCATGCAAGATGCCATGTCTGATGGTACCCCCATGGTTGTTTTCTGTGGTCAGGTCCCTACCAGCGCTATTGGAACCGATTCCTTCCAGGAAGCCGATGTCATCGGTATCTCCCGTGCTTGCACCAAGTGGAATGTGATGGTCAAGTCCGTTGGTGAGCTGCCTCGCCGCATCCAGGAAGCTTTCGAGATCGCCACGAGTGGTCGTCCCGGTCCCGTCCTGGTTGACCTGCCCAAGGATGTCACTGCTGGCATTCTCCGCAACCCCATTCCCATGCACAGCACTATTCCTTCGCTCCCTAGCGCAGCCACCGTGGCAGCCCGTGAAATGAGCCGGAAGCAGCTCGAGGGCACCATCAGCCGTGTTGCTAACCTCGTCAACATTGCCAAGAAGCCCGTCCTCTACGTCGGACAGGGTCTCCTTGCTCGCCCCGATGGCCCCGAGATCCTCAAGGAGTTTGCCGATAAGGCATGCATCCCGGTTACCACCACTCTGCAGGGTCTTGGTGGATTTGACGAGTTGGACCCCAAGGCTCTCCACATGCTGGGTATGCACGGATCTGCCTACGCCAACATGGCTATGCAGGAGGCCGATTTGATCATTGCTGTTGGCGCCCGTTTCGATGACCGTGTGACTCTCAGCATTCCCAAGTTTGCGCCTCAAGCCAAGCTTGCCGCTAGCGAAGGCCGCGGTGGTATCGTGCATTTCGAGATCATGCCCAAGAACATCAACAAGGTTGTCCAGGCCAACGAGGCCGTGGAGGGTGACTGTGCCGACAACCTCCGTCTTCTTTTGCCCCATGTCAAGGCTGTTTCTGAGCGCCCGGAGTGGTTCGAGCAGATCAACGACTGGAAGCAGCGCTTCCCCCTGTCGCTCTACGACCGCCAGACCGAGGACGGTCCTATCAAGCCCCAGGCTGTTATTGAGAAGCTTAGCGAACTCACTGCCGACCGGAAGGAAAAGACCATCATTACCACTGGTGTCGGACAGCACCAGATGTGGACTGCTCAGCACTTCCGCTGGCGCCACCCTCGTACCATGATCACCTCCGGTGGTCTCGGTACCATGGGCTTCGGTCTCCCCGCTGCTCTTGGAGCTAAGGTGGCCCGTCCTGACTGCCTCGTCATCGACATCGATGGTGATGCTTCTTTCAACATGACTCTCACTGAGCTTTCCACCGCTGCTCAGTTCAACATTGGTGTCAAGGTCCTGCTGATCAACAATGAGGAGCAGGGTATGGTCACTCAATGGTAAGCTGTCGTCTCTGATCTCTTCCCAGTATATTTGACTTACTTTTTTGTTTCAGGCAAAACCTCTTCTACGAGGATCGGTACTCCCACACTCACCAGCAGAACCCCGACTTCGTTCCCCTTGCTAAGGCTATGCGCGTCGCTGCCGACAAGTGCTTCAAGCCCTCTGAACTTGAGGAGAAGCTGAAGTGGCTGATTGAGCACGATGGTCCTGCCCTCCTGGAGGTCATCACTGACCGCAAGGTGCCCGTTCTTCCCATGGTGCCTTCTGGCCGTGGTCTGCACGAGTTCTTGGTCTACGATAAAGGTATGCAAACCCCTGGACAACGATTGACTTGAATCACCATTAACTCATTTATTACAGCCAAGGATCTGGAGCGCAAGGAGCTGATGCGCCAACGTAATGTGGACTTCCATGTCCGGAAAGAGTAGGTGACTAGCCAATGTCACCTCGACAATCATATTTCTGTACTTTGATATCCATGGCGTTTCTTGGCTGGTTCACCAAAAGCGATTGGGGCAATATCTGTTTAAAGATAAACAACAAATTCGTTGACCAAATTGCTCTTGGAGGTTCTCTTTGGCAGAGAAGTTTGGTGCTCGCGGGCTCTATACGCCTGTTGGAGCTTGCCCTAGACCATATCCTTGAAACCACCATGGCGAATTGCGTGAAACACGTGCTTTACCGTGGCTTCTGGTCGAGATTGGCCTTTTCTCTTGCCAGGTTGTTCCTCTTGTATATAATCATTGACGTCTCCGGTTCCTCGATGGGGCTTGGGAAATTGATACGTTCGGGTTCCATTAAATAGGAGCAGTTAGTTATTAACATTTATCTCTTGTTATTATTACGCCTTTATAAGTACTTCCTTGTATGTTTGTTTGTTCATCATCCTAGATGGCTTTTATCTTCGCTGGCTAACAATGTGAGTCGCTTCGGCCCTGAAGAACTCTGGGTCGACCTATCTTCTTTCATAAATCCAACCTCGGAAACTATGAAATATGAAACCACCTAAAGAGGTAAGTAGCTAGAAAGCAGAGGGTTAGCTACTTTTAGATAGGAAGTAAAGTGATCTGCATGCTTTCTTGCTAATGCTTTGCCCTATAACCCAACAGAGCACATCAATCAAAACACAAAGAGCCAATACTAATATGCCTAATGTATGGCAGCGAAAGAAGCCTACTTAGATGCCAGAACAAAGTTATGTAAATGGGTGACTACGCGCGTTGGCACCTGACAACTCTGAAAATTATATATCTTCTCTTTCCTTCCTCTTCACATTCTTGCTTTCAATCATGTTCTTTCATCCGCAGGGCTTGCATATCCCACAGCAAACAACCATTGGAGAGCTGCACGTTGAATAGCTTTTAACCGCCCTGACCTTCACAAATCACATCTTCTTGTGATATCACCTAGCTAGAGATATTCATCTTGAGCATCTAGTTTCTACCAAGCGCTTGACCAGGAAATGATACCAGACCATGGACTCCCAAAGGTATGCTTTAGATCTCCCTTACTTTTACAGGATATGGCAATCAATTTGAGAGATATCTGAATGGAATTGGAAAACCCTTCAAGTAATTTGTGGAAGATGCTAATCGATTTAACCTATAACAGGATATGCCGTGACTTCGCCAGAGGCAATTGCCGATGGAAAAACTGCAAATTTGCTCATGTGAGCAATGGCCAAAGCCATAGTCCAAAAATTCCAACCATCCAGATCCAACACCCTGAGCCCTTGCCCCGACGAGATCGTGGCTTACCGAATGCAGAAAAAGCATTTCGAGCATGGCAAGGCAGCATTCCTTTACGCACGACGGCCATTCGTCCCTCCTCTGGGAAGAAAACGACGATCTTCCGGAAAGCAAGGGAACTGATTGACTCTGACGCCAGTATACGCCAAGAAGTCATCCAGACATTGGCGAGTGAAGATGGCTTGCACCTTGTCTTGGACCTTGTTCAGGAGAACTTCGAAGACATGGATGCCGCAACGAGAGACCTTATTTTCAAGACTCAGGTGCTTCCATTTCTAGAGACAGTCTCAAATCCTGAGGTTATCTCCTCTCTGGTACTGGAGCAGGCTGTGGGCACAATCTACAATGTCTTGTTTGGAATTGACGGGTCTAGAGCAGCGCGATGGCTCAATTTCATCTGTGGCGTTCTCGAAGTCGACACTACCAACGAAGGCAGTGCCATGTTACTCGAGGCATCCCTACATACATTCTCCCGCATCGCGGACCTGAATTCTACGGCTCCTATCCAGGACTGCTTGCATGCCGTGGCACAGAGATTTGAAATCGTGTTCACCTCGATGAACAGCAAGAACGGCATGGGCACTAGGCTTTATCAATCTCGGCTGCACCTTGATCGGCTTCTTCAGCGCATGGAGACTGGAAAGTCGCTCCCAACGGGAACACCAGAGAAGAAAACCAAGAATGAAACCAATATCGCTTTTGTCCCTAACCGTGAGACTCCCGGAGGCAGACACAACAATGACTTTGACGACATCTGCCAGATTAGGATTATGCCTAGCTTTGAAGAAATTAGCAGCGTTCGAGGGGAGTACTTGCCCGTCAATAACCCACTTCAGTGGCATATTGATGGCATCGAGGGGCTGTTAGATCGAAACTTTCGGTTGTTGCGAGAAGACACCGTCGGTCAACTTCGAGATGCAATCCACCACGAACTGAGCCCGCGCGCCCAGCAATCACAATTGCGCAAGTTTGTATATCCCAAGTCATCGGTTGTCAATCTCGAGTTTAATTGGCTTTCGGGCCTTTACTTCGAAGTCGACTTCCCTCAGCCTGCTGCAGTAGCAAACTACACACCCATAGCCCGGGAAATGTGGTGGCAGAACTCAAAACGCCTACAGCCCGGCGCACTTGTGTGCCTCATGATTCAAAAGGATGTCGTGTTGTTTTGCACCGTGACACATCGTGACATGTCACCCAGGCGTAAAAGGGATAGTGTCCTCCCACAGGATCATGCCCCCCCACAGAACAAGCCAGAGCCAAAAACATTGTGGAAGAGCTCCACGAGAGGCTCGGTTACATTGACGCTGGTTGATTCTAGGTACACCAACACTCAAGTTGTTCTGGACCTTTTCACTCCCAAGAAACCCACTATGTCTCTGGTGGAGTTTCCAGGGGTCATTCTCCCAGCATTTGAACCGGCGCTCCAAGCACTTCAATCGATGAAGGCGGCACAAACCCTGCCTTTCTCAGAGCTGTTTGTTCCGTGGGTCTCTGACGATTTCAACATATCTGATATGGCTCCTCCATTGTATGCTTCCCAACCTGGCTTTGCATTCAACCTCCGCTGCCTCATGAAAGATGATACCAATTTCTACGTCCGCGTTAATCAACCCTCTGACGTGAAATACGTACAGGATCATTCAACCCTGGATGATGCACAGGCTCATGCGTTAATCAATTGTTTGAAGCGGAAGCTCGGTCTGATCCAAGGACCACCTGGTACCGGCAAGAGTTACACTGGTGTGGCTCTTATCAAAGTCTTACTGGCAAATAAAGAAGCTGCTGGAGGAAAATTAGGGCCCATATTATGTGTCACATATACCAATCATGCCCTTGACCAGCTTCTTGAGGCTTTATTGAATAACAATGTGACATCCCAAATTGTCCGTATTGGATCCCAGTCCAAGTCGGAGAGATTGGAAAGATTCAACCTCCAGACTGTTTCGAAAGATACAGCAAGAACAAAGGTGGAGAAGAAAGAAAGATGGAGCACAGCCGAGAGACTTTCACTATGTGAGGATGAATTTCGCGCCCTTGGCCTGAAAAATGAAGTCCCTATTTCTCGCCTCAAGTCCTATATCCAGCGAACAGATCCCGATCACCACGACCAGCTATTTTCACTGGTCCAAGAGGATGGTTTCTTGAGAGTAAAAACTGACAGCCCCCAAACTGCGATCAGCTCCTGGCTTGATTCAGCAGCTAAGGACAATGCTTGCGCACGGCCTGTGAATGAACTCCAGAACATTAATGTCTTCGAGATGTCTCGAAAAGAACGACAGCATCTTTACGGCCGCTGGTGTCGTGATTGCCGCGCGGAAATTGACGAAAGCGTCAGGCAAATTATTTCATCTCACAGGGCTGCCAAACAGGGGTACGATAGCGTCCAGGATGAGATGCACCTTCGCTGTCTGGCTCAAGTAGATATCATTGGCGCCACTACAGCAGGGCTTGCTCGCAGATTGAATATGTTCCGAAGACTTCCATGCAAGTTCATGATATGCGAAGAGGCCGGTGAAGTCCTTGAATCACATCTCCTTACGGCGTTTATACCTTCTGTTGAGCATGCAATCCTCATCGGTGATCAGCAACAGCTTCGCCCCCAGGTCCATAACTACGACCTATCTAGCGAGAATCCTCGGGGTGGTGTGCAATACTCACTCGATATCTCCTTGTTTGAAAGACTGGTGAGCTCAAACAAAGGCCCTATGGACTGTGGAGCCCCTTTCAGCACATTGGAAACCCAGCGGCGCATGCATCCATCTATCGCTCGGCTGATTCGTGAAACCCTGTATCCAAAGCTGAAGGATGACCCATCTGTTTCGAAGTATCCGGAGATTATGGGGATGCGGAAAAGATTGTTCTGGTTGGATCACCGACTGCGAGAGGGAGGATCTGACTCCGATGCCATGTCAACCTCTCACTGGAACAGTTATGAGATCGATATGACCGTTTCGCTGGTCAACCATCTTATTCAACAAGGTGCATACAAACACGGAGACATTGCAGTGCTGACTCCGTATCTGGGCCAACTCTACCGACTACGAAAAAGGCTCGATGAACTCTATGCCATTGTGGTAGGGGACCGTGATTGCGAGGATCTGAAGCAGGCGGGTTATGCGGATTATGAAGCCAAGGACAAGTCAAAGATCAAAGCAGCCTTGTCCCAGACTCTTCGCGTGGCCACGGTAGACAATTTCCAAGGCGAAGAAGCCAAGGTTGTTGTGATATCTCTAGTCAGAAGCAACGCAAAGAACCAGTGCGGGTTTTTACGCACTTCCAATCGAATCAATGTTCTGCTGTCGCGAGCGCAACACGGCATGTACATCATCGGCAACTCGGAGACCTCGATCCATGTTCCCATGTGGGCTCAAGTCGTAAAGATTTTGAAGCAAGATAAAAATATCGGGAAGACCCTGGAGTTGCAATGCCCTCGCCATCCAGATACACCAATAGCGGTCTCGACGCCAGAAGACTTTCCAAAGTTCTCTCCCGAAGGAGGTTGTAATCTGCGCTGTGTTAACCGGCTAGGCTGTGGACATGCCTGCGCTCAAAAATGCCATTCCGATCTTCTTCACAACGCTGCCTTTTGCCTAGAGCGTTGCCCTCGACCATCTATAGGCTGTAATCATTCGTGCCCTAAGCGATGCGGGGATCCTTGTCCAGAAAAGTGCATGGTCAACGTGTATCAAAAAGATAGAACACTCCCATGCGGTCATCTAATGCCAAACCTTTCTTGTTGGCAGGCTCAAGATATCTCCACAGTTCACTGTTTGGTGAGTGTGGACAAGACGATCCCGGGCTGCAATCATATCATCTCACTGCCATGCCACATCGATGTGGAAGCAGAAGACTATCGCTGCCTAGCTCAGTGTCGCAACCCCCTGCCTTGTGGACACTTATGCAAGAAAACGTGTTATCGCTGCATCACCAGAGAACCTGAAAACATCCAACTCAATCATGGAAACTGCGAGCAACGGTGTGACCGGAATCATTCTACGTGCGCTCATGCCTGCAGCGTTCCTTGTCACGGTGAGAATCCTTGTCCTCCTTGCAAAGCTCCATGCGAAGTGCACTGTGGTCATTCTAACTGCCCGCGAAAATGCTACGAGCCGTGTACTCCTTGCGCAGAAGAAAAATGCCTTTCAGCATGCCCTCACAGTGTCTGCTCAATGCCATGTGCAGCCCCTTGTGATCACGTTCCATGTTCCAAGCGATGCGAGAAGAAGATGATATGTGGGCATCAGTGCCCGTCAGTATGTGGAGAAAAATGCCCTTCATCCTCCTTCTGTCAAACCTGCGGAAATGAGGACATCGGAAATCACCAAGTCGATTTCATCCTGGGTCAAACGTACAAAGAAGCCAACCTGGACGAAAACCCATGCGTATTCCCCAAATGTGGTCATTTCTTAACAATTGAAAGCATGGATGCGCAAATGGACATGGCTCGCTACTACAAGGTCGACGCCAGTGGCAAGCCCGTCTCTATCTCGGTATCATTAGCCCCGTTCTCTATTCAAGACATCAAAACATGCGCGACCTGTCGTGGTCCATTGAGAGACATTGCCCGGTATGGCCGGCTGGTTCGCCGAGCTATCCTTGATGAGTCGACGAAAAAATTGATCATCCTACTCAACCAAGAATATGTCCCTCTTGCACAGGAACTTCCTCAGCTTGTTCGTGAATTACATGCATCCGGAGGTCAAAGAAAATATCCATGGCCAGCACTGATTGAGATATCTGGCCCACGAAACCATCAAATTCAAACCATGGGAGAAATCATCCAGAAGACAAATCCAGATCGATGGAATTCAATCCTTGACTTGCGAAAGCGCGTCGATCTCTATCGGCGCCGCGTGAAACCCGAGGAGCAACCATTTGAAAGGGTTCGGAGAATGGTTGAAAATGCTCGACAACGCCGAAAAATAAAAATCAACCCTGATCATGTCGATAATGTGCTACAGACCAAAGGCTTTCTACAGGGCACCGCCCTCTTAATCCGTCTGGATATTGCTTTGCTCGTTGACCTTTTGAGTCTTGTTTCTCAAGGACGACCAAGCGAGGTGACGCCTCGATTCGAGCTTGATCTACAGAAGGTCAAGGATGATTGCCAGACTCTCATCCACCAAGCGGTCATTCACCAGCGACTTCTCCAGCAGACGGAAGGTCATATTTTCCTAGCACAGCTCTATGCCCTCGAACGAGCACATTGCTTGACACCAGAGAAGAGGGAAAATATCTTGAAGCATGGCCAGACTGCTATTCAGAAAGCGAAAGCTCTTTGCGATGCGCACGCAGGCCAGACACGGGGACTGGTAGATGAAGTTCGCAGCGTCGAGAAGATGTTGCGCAGAGGCACATTCTACACAATCATCACCAGCGAGGAACGCATGGAAGTTCTTTCGGCGATGGCTCGAGAGTTCAGAGGGACTGGGCATTGGTACTACTGTCGCAACGGGCATCCGTTTACCATTGGTGACTGTGGGTTAGCCAGGGAGACGAGTCGCTGTCCCGAATGCGATTCCCCGGTGGGAGGCGAACATTCTCGATTGGCAGAGGGGGTTAGGCTGGCGGTGGACTGGGATATGGATAGGGAGAGATTGAATCTTTAGGGGAGAGGGTCTGAGGGTGGTTGATTTTGTTTCTTTTCTGTTTCTTTTTGCTGCTTTTTGCTGCTTTTTGCCCTGATCTTTTGTGATTAGGCAACCCAATTTGCTGCCGTACGGCAGTTAATAAGGACACGTTCAATTTTTCTACCTAGAAGATATTCAAAAATTCCAGAAATATAGAAATAAAAATATTTGAAGCTGTGTAGGCGAAACCACTAGGAATATACGTGGGGGGAAATGTTGTGAGCAGTCGCTATCCACTGCCGTACGAAGTCCACGGGGTGACGTCTCGGAGTCTTAAGGTGTCACGCCTAAGCTTATCCTCCACTCAACTTCCTTCCGCTCTCTTCCCCCCTCCCTCATTACTCCCACCTTGATTCTTGTCACATGAATTGATTCGCACAATATCTCGCTAGCTCATTGTCTTTGCATTGCATGTGTTTACCCTGCTCTCCCCCTAGCTTCCGCCCCTCACCCATTCCATAATGGCTAGCCCACCACCCGTCACCGAGGACCAGAACCGCCTCCTCGAGGAGGCATTGGGGGTGGTGAGGCAGCAGTCGAGTCTGATGCGCAAATGCCTAGAGACTCCTGGAAAGCTCATGGATGCGCTGAAATGCGGGTGAGCTCCCCCATGAAACTCCCAAGGCAGCGATCTCGGAACGTGCGCAATGAGTTTGTATGCTAACAGCTTGAAATTATCTCCACAGATCGACTCTTGTCTCCGAACTACGAACCCCCAGTCTCGGCCCAAAGCAGTATTACGAATTGTACATGGCCGTCTTTGATGCGCTGCGACACCTTTCTGTCTACCTAAAGGAGAACCACCCCGTCAACCACCTAGCCGACCTATACGAGCTCGTTCAGTATGCCGGAAACATCGTCCCCCGCTTGTACTTGATGATCACCGTGGGTACGGTCTACATGTCCGTTGAAGATGCGCCGGTCAAGGAGATCATGAAGGATATGATGGAGATGAGCCGAGGCGTTCAGCACCCGATCCGTGGCCTGTTCTTGCGATACTACCTCTCCGGCCAAGCACGGGATTATTTGCCTTCCGGAACCGGTGATGGCCCAGAGGGTAATATGCAGGATTCGATCAACTTTGTTTTGACGAATTTCGTGGAAATGAACAAGCTCTGGGTTCGGCTTCAGCACCAGGGCCCCTCACGAGAGCGGGATAGGCGCATACAAGAACGACGCGAACTGGAGCTGCTCGTCGGTAGCAACATCGTTCGACTCAGCCAGTTGGTTGATCTTGAAGGGTACAAATCCGGTATTTTGCAAGCGCTTCTAGAACAGGTTGTACAATGCCGAGATGTCCTTGCGCAAGAATATCTCCTGGAAGGTACGACTCTTTTTCCTTCTTTTCGCGGAAAATACTCTTGCTTGGTCCATTTACTAATACGATCAACAGTGATTACAAAGGTCTTCCCAGATGAGTTCCACCTGCACACCTTGGACCTTCTATTATCTGCCATCGCCAGACTTAACCCGCACGTGGATATGAAGAAAATCGTCATTGGTCTTATGGACCGTTTGTCTTCTTATGCGGCAAGGGAAGCCGACTCAACTGTGGAGCCAGAAGTGCGGAAACAAAGCGAGGAAGAAGCCGTCACCAAGCTATTGCAAAAGCTCGAGCTTGCCAAAGAAACCAAAGCGGAAGAGCCAAAGGACGCGAGCACTGATGAGAGTTCCAAGGAAAATGGTACCGAGAACGGCGAAGAGGAAACATCCCAAGAAACCCCTGAGCCCGCTGAACCGCCAACGGAAGAAAAGCAGGTTGAGAATGGGGACGACTCTAAGTCTGGCATTCCATCAGAAATCAAGCTGTACGATATCTTCTACGACCAAGTGGTCAATTTGATCAGAACACGTGCATTGCCGATTCAAGATACCATGGCGCTGTTGGTATCACTTGTCAATCTGGCATTGAATACCTATCCAGATCGGTTAGAGTATGTTGACCAAGTCCTGGACTTTGCGACACAAAAAACTGCCGAATACACCGATCATGCCGATTTGCATTCTGCGCCAACCCAACAACACATCCTCCACCTTCTTAATGCTCCTCTCAAGTCTTACATCTCGATCTTCACAGCCTTGGCGTTGCCACATTACCTGCCACTACTGACCTCGCAGTCATACCCCACAAGGAGGGCTGTTGCGGGCGAGGTCATTCGCAGTCTTTTGAAGAACAAGATCTTGGTATCCACAACGGAAAACCTCGATCGTGTACTCCAGGCGGCAAGAGTATTGATCAAGGAAGGGATGCAGCAGTCTGCTGGATACCCCGGGTCACAGTCTCAACGGCGGGGAGGAGAAACCGATGAAACGGTAGAAGAACAAGGGTGGCTTGCAAGACTCATACACTTGATTCAGGCATCGGACAACGACACCCAGCTCAAGGTAGGATCACTCGCCAGATGCTTAATACCCATTACTAACAGTCTATGACAGCTTCTCCAAGCAACACGCAAGGCATTGGCCGATGGTAACGAACGAATCCGCTATACCACCCCTGCAATCATAACGGCATCGATCCGATTGGCCCGCAAACTGAAGTCGCGCGAGCATTACGACGACAATTGGCAATCACAGTCGTCGGCTCTATACCGATTCATGCACCAGAGCATCAACAATTTGTACCAGCGCGTAAATCCAGGTTGTGCCGATCTCGCACTGCGACTGTTTGTCATGTGTGGTGAGGTTGCCGATCAAACAGGATTCGAGGAAGTCAGCTACGAGTTCTTCGCGCAGGCATTCACCATCTATGAAGATGCGATCAGTGACTCGCGCGCCCAGTTCCAAGCCGTCTGCATTATCTCAGGCGCCCTACATGGGAGCCGTGGATTCTCCAAGGAGAACTATGACACACTCATTACCAAAGCTGCACTGCACGGAAGCAAACTCCTCAAGAAGCCCGATCAATGCCGCGCGGTGTATCTCGCAAGCCACCTCTGGTGGGTAGTTGAGAACCCTCAGCGTGAAGAAGATGATCCCAAGGATGTAAGTTTTATATCTAATTCCAATGTCTTAGTGTATTTTAGCTGACATCAACTTTCCAGCTCTACCGCGACGGCAAACGAGTCCTCGAGTGCCTTCAGCGCGCCCTCCGTGTGGCCGACGCCTGCATGGACACCGCTGTCTCCGTCGAGCTCTTTGTGGAAATCCTCAACCGCTATGTCTACTATTTCGACCAGCAGAACGAAACCGTCACTACGAAGTACCTGAACGGTCTCATTGAACTCATCCACTCCAACCTGCAGACAAACGAAGATGAGGCAAATGCTAACCTCGACGGCCCGAAACGCCACTTCCAACGCACGTTGGAGTACATTCGCTCTCGCGAATACGAAGGCATTGTGACAGAACCACCAAAGTAATTGCCAGATGGGACACTCCTCCCGGTGAGCTTCAAGAAGCATTGTATGTGATGTGGCACGTGAGATTCCTGCTTTGATCCTCCTAGTAGGACTTGTTTTTCTGCTCTACGCTATTTCCTTGGTCTCTTTTGTCTTTCTCTTATTCCTGGAAGCCTGCCTCTTTTTTCTTGCTGCTCCTCGGTTTTCTTTCATTCCTAGTATATACAAGTGTATCATTGTCTCCGGATAACACCATACCCTTTCAACGTGATTTGTATCGGCCATGGACAACTCCCTTTTTTTCCTTTTTGTAGAACAAACAAGCACCTAGGAAGCCCCGATGTGTTGGTTGGTAATAGAAAATATAATCATATCCATCAAATGGAACCATGTCAAATCCCCCCCTCCACCTTCTCCACTATATATATATAAACCCTATGTGCATGTAGCACGTGATAATCAAAGATGTAGCTCTACGTTACGAAGTTCTACGCATAAAACCAACAAAACAAAGCCGAAGAAACCTTCGATCATGCAATTGGTCAAGACGATGACGGAGTGGGAGACTAACCCTAACTCCACGGATATCGCTGCATAATGTAGAAAGGCCAGACTCATACCGTACATAAAACAAATCCGGATGCCATACTTCAAAAAGTATGCATTCAACCACATTGGAAAAATACCAAGCAAATAAAGAACCCATATCGATAGCAGTGACTCTTTCGAGTAGAAAGATGTAGATAGATGTGTGAGTATGACGTTAATCCATGACGCTTCAATAAAAGAGGATGAAAAAAAGGAAATGAAAAAGAAGTAGATGAGAGGGCATTTCAAAGTCGTTCCAGCAAGAGTGCGGAAAAGAGGCCGAGAAGAAGGTTCCTCCCAAGGCCGGGTTGGCATCAAATCATGATCAGGATAAAGAAGTCCCGCCGAATAAGCCAGTCGGAGGCGAAGAATACTGCCGCAGCACGGAGGGCCCACCAAAACCACTGAAGGGAGCTGGGTGGCTGTTACTAGGGATCGGGCTGCCGATATCACCAGGCACAATGCTACCGCGATGACCGGAGACCGCGCTGTTGGGATCGGGCTCGAATCGGACGGACTTGCCACTCGGGCCTTCCTTGATAGAGAACGATCCGCCGCCATTCTGTGGACTGCCTTCTGTGTCGCAGATATCAAGCATTTCATCCAAAGAGATCGATGGCTCGCTTGAGTTGCGCAGTTGCTCCACCTGACCGAGAACAAGGTTCACATCGTGGAAGCTTCCAGCACCCTTATGCGGGCTGGTCATCGAGTTCAGCTGCTTGCATGCTTGGATGACCAACAGGCGAATTGTAACGGGTCGAGAGGTGTGGGGCCGATGATGACCACCCGTTGCGAAGGCATTATTGGGAGGCCAGCCAGTTCCGGTAGGGGTGGGTCCCCATGTGGTAGGGAAGGGGGAGCCTCCGAATGGCGCCGCGCCCCACGTAGTGCTGCCCATTGGAGAGCCAACCGCGAAGTTATTCTGTGGGGATCCCAGAGGATCCGAGAACAACGACGATCCTTGGAAGCTCGCTCGTGTTGGCCCCAGGAATGCCCCAGGTCCGGGAGCGCCAGGCAATGACTGAGACAGGTTTGATGGATATGTAGCAT